CTGGTAGGATTCCAGGTCAGGGCACATGCCGGAATTTTGGGCTCAATCCCCCGTGTGGGGCGTGCAGGAGGCAGCTGGTCAGTGATTCTCATCACTGATGCTTTTCTCTCTCTCCCTTCCTCTCTAAAATCAATAAAAATGTATTTTAGAAAATGAAAAGTAAAACTTGAAGCTGGTGCCATTGATGACTGGACTCCCCACCAACCCCCTCTGAAGTCCAAGCTAATTGGGCCACATCCCCCTCTGCTGAGCAGCTCAAGGTCACCTCCCTCTGACTTTTACCAACCATCCAGTCTCCGTCGTCATCTTCCTCCAGCTCTGAGCGACCTTTGACACACCTGACCCCCTTTTTCTAAAAACGGGGTGTCACATTCTTCTTCTCTCTGACCCCTTTGGCGATACCACCTACCTTTTCTCACAGGTCCCAGGGCCTAACTCCTCCGGCCCTCCGTTACCTCCTCCCAGTTACCTCCTCCAGACCCACTGCCTTACCCACAATCTCCACCATCTCAACCCTGACTTTTCTTCTCACTGCAGACTCACCAATCCAGCAGCCTACTCAACACACCCACGTGGATGGCGAGCTGGGTTGATGTCTAAGTGGCATCTCTAACCAGGATGATGAAAGCCAAACTTTCAGTTTTTCCATAAAAACTGCTGATCACCCAATGTCCCCAGTCATGCTAAAGGTAACAGTCACCTGGTTGCTAGGGCCCAAACCTAGGAACCACCTTTGAGTTCCATCATACAGTCCTCTCTCCTCCCCCTCAGCTCTCACACATGGGTTGACTCTAAGCACTTGCTGCCACCACGTCAGCTCAACGCAACCTCCTTCCAAGTGGACAGCAGCCACTAGGAGAGTCCACTCTTACTCTCAGGCCCCATCCTTTCTCCAAAGCCCAGCGCATGGCAGCCCTTTCCTGTCATGAACCAGGTCCCACCATTTCCATCCCAAAGCCCCGCACACCTAGATTCCACTCTAAACTGCTCACTGGAGCCTCAAAGCCTCCTTTATCCCGTCCCCACCTCCCTTCCCAACAGCCTGAATGAACGTGGTCTCCACTGTTCTCTGGGCTTTAGCTCGATCAGCCCTCCTACTTGGCTCCTCAGATATGCTGTCTCCCCATCTTCCACGAGTGTCTGTGTCACTCTGCGCCAGGCCACTGGGTGGCTGGCTTTTCATCGTTCAGTTCTCAGCTCAAATGTCAGCCCCTCTTATTACATAAGCATCCTCCATCTCTATGCTATTACCCTGTTCTTTACTTTCTTCAGTGCAATAACCACTATTTGAAGTTCCGTTGTTTATGTGCTGTGTCTCCCCAAACAAGCATATCACTACACATGCATGGAGCCCTCTGTGTCTCACTCACTGTTAAGCCAAGAACAGAGCAGGCTCTCTATGCCCATTCCCATTCTTTGGATGAGGAAACTGAGGCTGGAAAAAAAAAATCAGCCTCAATGTCACATGGGAATAAAGTCAGGGCCAGACTTGGAACCCACATCTGGCCATGTCCCATGTCCTTAACTTGCCACATGGACTGCCCATGTCCAGCTTTTGATCGTTCCTCATCCCCAAGATCTAAGTTTGACCAGATAAAAGCCAGCATTACCCAAGGTTCTTTCGTTTTCTATACCTTGATTTCTATATCTGCAGTTCCTCTGAAACCTTGAAAATCAGCCAAAATACTTATTGTGATTCTAGTTCTTGAACCCTAACATGAAGCAGAAGAAACTCCCAGAGATATCTAGAGCCATCCACGTGCTGTCCTGGCCCCACAGGGCTGGGGAGAGGGAGCAGATGAAATCACTCCACCTAGCCCACACACGCTTCAGAGCAAGAATCCCAAGGATCCGAAAGGCCATTGCAAAGTGAGCTCATCTAAACAACGAATTTCATATTTCCAATGATTTCTTTTAAAATGACTTAGCATTTCCTCACTTTCAGTTATAATTCTCCACTCCACTGGATATTATCCTTTTTTAACCTCTACTATCAAATGCTAGTCTTTTCTTACAAATATTCCTTCCTTAAAAATAGTCGATGTTCTTGACCGGCTGATGTGGCTCAGTGGTTGAACTGTTGACCCATCAACCAGGAGGTCATGGTTCAATTCCCGGTCAGGGCACATGCCTGGGTTGTGGACTCAATCCCCAGTGAGGAGAGAGGGGAGTGTAACAGGGGTGCAGAAGGCAGCCCATCAATGACTCTCTCTCATCATTGATGTTTCTCTCTCTCTCTTCCTTCCTCTCTCTGAAATGAATAAAAATATATTTTTTAAAAGAAAAATAAAGTCAATGTTCTTATTCATGATTTTCATATAAATGATAGTATCCTTAAATACTCATAGCAGCAAACAGGCTACTCAGACATAGGCCTTCCACACTCAATGGTTATAAGCCACTGCCACAGAAACTAAAAATTATTTTGTAACAACTGTGTGAAATAAAGGAGATTATATACCAACATTTACCAGCTACCTACATGTACCCAGAACTGCACTGCTCCTGAATGGTAGAAGCTGGTGCTTTAATTGAGCACTTGTTACGTGCCAAGCAGCTTAGAAGCATGACCTCAGTTAGTCCTCACATCAATGGCGACAGCCCAGGGAAAGGACTCCCCCCTCCACAGAAGAGGACACCAACTCTGAGGTGAAATAACTTGAAGGAAGCAGAGGACCTGACACCAACCAGGAGTCAAAGCCAGACCCGCAACTATACCACCTCCCGGCAGCAGGAAAGGGCCTGCTCATGCCGTGGTGAGAAAAGCACCAGCTACAGGAGATGTATGTGTGTATGAAGGAGGTCGAGGAAGGTCCAATTTCAGATAAAATCCTCAAAACCACTCATTTCTTTCTTTACTTAAAGTAAAGTAAAGAAACAAATCACCTTGATGGGTGAGGGCATTCTGTTACTTTGTAAGTCTCCCCTGACCTACTGATTTTCAATCTTCAGGGTGAGAAGAGGATATCCAGGCAATGAATGGCCAACATGCACCGTACATGCCTCACACCCTGTGGGTCTGGCAGGCCTCCGTGGGGAAGCCCTGGTGAAGTGAGCACTGCACAGTCTCTTGACCTAGAGAGCACAGTCTCTTGCTGGGAGCCGAGCACAGACACCTGTCTGCAAGCTCATCTCAAGTGGGTGATGCATGTACCACACCCAGCACAGCTCTGCTGCATGCTCGGTGTTCAGCAATGCTGAGTGCTGGGTGCCCACAAGCATTCATCTTCCTGTCCTCAGCACAGAAACACTGCTCTTATTCGGGGCAGTGAGCACCCAGCTAAACATCCACCTTTCCCAGCCTCCCTTGCAGCTAGGCATGGCCGTGTGCCTCAGTCCTACCAGAGGGATGTGCACATCAAGACTGTTTGGAACTCTGGGAAGGCTGTTTTTGCCTCATCTCTGCTTCCTTTCTGCTTACTACACTTGGAACGTAAATTGTAGCAGTCATTTTGGTGGCCTTGAGATGACATTGAAAAAGGGAGAAAGGTACTTGCTGAGGATAACAAGTCTAAATTTAAGAGGCTAGCTTTCTGTTGTGGCAGACCACTTCAAATTCCTTATGTAACGGAAATAAACTCCCCTCTTATTTAAGTCACAGTAACTTTAGGATAGTAGTTCTCAAGCTTTGGTGGCAAACAAAACACCTGGGGTACTTTGTGAAAATACCAAGGTCACTATGCTACTTGGACGAGCCTGGGTTCCTGGGTGCCAGATGATGCCAACACTCCCCAGAGTTCAAGAACCAGTGCCATAGGCTCTTCTGGGCTAAGCAGCCCAACTTGACCTTCCCGTTCCCTTCCAGTGTTAACCCCGACACTGACCACATGGCAGGCAAAGCAATTTTAAAACATCCAGTGTTATTTGCTTCCAATTGGAAGTGGAGGACAGATCTGAATGGGATGGGCGATTGCCACGTTCATGTCCTACACAACCTTCTCGGACACGGCAGATGGCGGTGGGCACGCTGCCTGCTCACACTGCCTCGGCCTTCCCTCGAATGGTACCTGGGTGGGGTGCCAAGCTTCCTCCTTGGGAGTTTTGGCCTGTGCCTGCGCAATGCCGCCACCTCGCGAGGGAGGGCTCCAGCCTCCTGCCCTTCACCGTCCTTCCCCGCTGCACAAAGGGCTGAGGAGCTGCTGCTCTCCTGAGGAGCCGTCACTGAGGTTTGCTGTGCAAACTCACCCTCTTGCACACTGGCTTCCTCAGAGAGGGCTCAGAGGTCAAGGCCAGCATTCGGAGCCAACTCCTCCCTCCACACGTTACTGGTTCAAAGTCAGTTTTCTGGCCACCCAGTTGTCTGTCTGTCCTACTAATTGGCAGCCCCTTTTCTCCACCTCCGTGTACAAAAGGACTGGCTTGTGCTCTTTTCTCTCTTCCAGAGTATATTTCCTTTCTTCCCCCTGCACCCCCACCCCCTTTTTTTTTTTTTTTTTTTTTTTTTCTGTAGAACAATACTGGGCATGTGGGTTGTGGAAAGAGAAGTCTACAGCCCACTATCTCAAAGGAAAAACTGACCTGGACCCACCTAGATATAAATTAGCATAATTCTTAAACACTCCATTTGTTGAGCTCAGATAGTAACTGTAAAAATATGACTTTCATTATCTGGCTCTTACTTTATATTCAGTTCCTGAGACTTAATCACCCATGTCTGTTTGTTCTGGGTAAAAGCAGTTGACAAACAGGTAATGCCCTTTTGGACGCCAGCTCCAGCTCTGGCGGGGAGTCCCACAGACAAAAGCAGCAAGCTCCTGTGACTCATCCACCACACCCTCGCCTGCCTCCGGGGGACCGGGCGCCAGGTGGCCCAGCTGGAAGACCCCGGGGCACTAGATTGAGCTGAGGATAGGCCTCGTTCCCTGATACCTGAGCCCCAGGGCCTGTGGGAGCAGAGCTATCTCCTGTCTGCCGCAGGTCCACCCACACATGGGAGGAAGCCAGGCGGGGGCAGGGCTCTGCCCCACACAGAACCCACCCAGCACCAGGGACCTACTTACCTATTTCTGGTAATGAGTGGAGTTCGAGGAGCCGCCTCCTCCCCCTCGGATGGCGTGAACGGCTGTTGGAGATGATGCTGGGTAGTGTCCGGGGCGGATGGGCTTGGCTGTGTCACCAAGAGAAAGGAGAGAAGAGGCAGTCAGAAGGGACTCAAAGAGCAATGCCCAGATACCCCCAGGCCACAGGTGAAGACCAAGGCAGAATTCTTGCCCACATCACCATTCTCAGCCACCAGAGTCCCTAGCAGGTTTGCCCTCCTATGAGTGCAGGGAGCTAACCCAGGACACCCAGCATTCAGGAGACAGAAAGAACTTAGGTAGCAAATATTTTTATTCAGATTGTGGAGAGTTAGGAACAGTTGTGGTCTGCAGCTGACCCCCAGATCCCCAGGAGTTCCCAGGCATCTCTCGAGCCCCTGAAGTTAGGTCTGGAATTCTGCCTGCTATCACTTTTCTAGGGAGAGGGTTCATCGTTTTCAGTAGGTTTTCTAAGGGAATAAAATCCAATAAATGCAAAGGGTGAAAAAGTTCAATGAGCCACTCATCTGAAGTATAACCTGAAAGCTAGAAACAGGAAGGTGCGGGTTGGAAAACCTCTGCACAGCACTACCTGATGGGCAATAACAGCACATGCTGTTGGAGATGCCTCAGTTTTCTAAAAAGCCCTCAGAGATCGCCCCTAAAACCCGTTATTCCTACAGCTCCATCCTGGGATCATGACTCAGCAGCTACACTCCTGCCCCATGTAGGGAGGATGCCCCACCCCAGGCCTGGCGTTTAGAACCAGGAGCTCACAGTCGCTAGGCCTGGGAGCCAGGACCTGCATCTGCAAGCAGCTCCGCCGAGGCCCCTGGCTCCTTACTCCTTGTGGTTCCACCAGGACAGGGGCCTTGAGGCCTCGCTGAGAAATAGCTGTGCATTCTGGTGTATCTGACAGCGTGTCCTTTTACAGCCCGACACGTCTGCCTACAGTCCAGGCCAGGGCCTCTCGGCTCAGCCGCTCTGAAAACCACAATGTCTGCTGGGACCTCAGTGTGAGGACATCCCCTCCTCCAGGCTGGGCACAGGTGCCGGGAGGCGCAGCGGCCTGGGATTGGGAGAGGCACGTACCAATCTGGGCCGAGTGGGCCCTCCGGGCCATGTTCTTGGCGCGCACGGCCTCCTTGATGCGGTCCACCTCCTGCTGGTAGCGCTTGCGGTCCCGCATGGCGTTCTCCTTGGCCTCCTTCAGCGCGCTCTCCAGGGCCTTGACGCGCTCGGCCGTGGCCCGCAGCCGCTTCTCCAGCTTGGGCAGCTCACAGCGCAGGTCCGCGTTGTCCCGGACCAGCTGGGGTGGAGGGGAGGGGCAGTCACCAGGGAGCTACCAGGCCAGCAAGGGAAGCACCCACCTCGGGGGACAAGGATTGTGACGGGGGAGCAGCTAGAAGCAGACTCAGCAGCTGAGCGACCACCCCTGCTGGACAGCAAGTCCACATGACATAACCTTCTCATGACCGCCACCTCCTCATGACCACAACCTCCTCATGGCCACCACCTCCTCATGACCACCACCTCCTCATGACCACCACCTCCTCATGGCCACCACCTCCTCATGGCCACCACCTCCTCATGGCCACCACCTCCTCATGGCCACCACCTCCTCATAGCCACCACCTTCTCGTGACCATAACCTCATCATGACCACAACCTCATGACCACAGCCTCCTCATGGCCACAGCCTCCTCATGGCCACCATCTCCTCATGGCCACAGCCTCCTCATGGCCACCACCTCTTCATGGCCACCACCTCCTCATGGCCACCACCTCCTCATGGCCACCATCTCCGGGCAGAGCAAAGGGATTGAATTACTAACTACATGACCCACAGGTGCCAGTGTCTAGTTATAGCCAGTTCCCGCCACGGGAAACGCAGGCTCGGGCCAGGGTTCGCTTCCTCTCTCCGGTGAGAAAGCAGTGCTCCCACGGCAGCGTGGGAAAGCTGAGAGATGCACAGCACAGGGCTCTGTGGATGCCTGAGTTAGGCCCTCGCAGGCCTCCTTCCACCAGGAGCCACCGTCCACAGCAGCATGAGGCTGGGACCTGCTCTGCAGCACATCCCGAGGCTCACAGGCACCCCAGGGGGTAGGGGGGGAGGGGAGGAGAGAGGCGGGGGACTGCTCTTTCTTGCATTGCTGAAGACACTTGGTTCAGAAGCAACAGGCTCACCCTGGGCCCACGCTCTATCATCCCCTGGCCGTGTAACTGGTGTAAGTCATTGGACCACCAGGGTTTCTCAGCTATAAAAAGGGACAGAATAGGACCAACGTGGGAAACCAAGTGGATAAAAAAACGTTGTGAAAATCAGAAAGTGCCAGAAGAAGTCACCGTGTGGGCCCGCGCCCGTGGTGGGGCTGCCAGACAGTGGGCTTTAGTCACCATACATCGAGTCCGTAAGTGAAAACACTGCTGAGTGTCGGAGCCCTGCTCCCTGACAGTGTGTATTCTTGTATTTCTGCCAATAACCTGTCTCAGCAACACCAGCCACTCTGCACCTGCGGGTCTCCCTCTGAGGAAAAGTGACGTCATCGGTACTGGTGAAGAGGACGTCATAAGCCCAAGAGGAAGGACATCCCCTCGGCCATGCGGCCCTTCCATCATGTCCCTGTCCTTAGGACTTAGGGAAAATGGCAGGAACATTCCAGCATTCAACAGAGAGTAGGGGGCTAAGCCCTAAATCACCATTGCTCCCGGCGACTCCAGGCGGACTCAGGGCGTTGCAAGGACCAGAAGAGGGTGCCCAAGCGACAGCAACCGGGCAGAGGGGCCTGTGCTGCTCCCAGCCTCCCGCCTGGGCCAGCCCGCCTCCTGTGAAAGCAACGGCCCGGGCCAGCTGGGGTGCCCGCGGTGCCTTCTGTGGAGCTCTGGCACATCTCGGGAGACACCGAAGCCCGAGGGGGACTGAGGCTGCGGCTGCAGGTAGTGGGAAAAGACAGGACTGAACATCCCACTCCCCACACCCGGAGAGCTCGAACTCCGCTCCTCACCTTGGCTTTGGTGAGATACAGTATCTTAGACAGAAGAGAAGCCACGGAGGACGGGAGGATTTCACGGCCTCTGGCTCTTCAGCTGCAGTGTGGCCCCACGCAGCGGGCTCCCCCAGGAGAGGGGGCCGCAGAGGAGCGGGCACAGCTCTCCTACCTGTTTGTGGACCTTCGTGAGCTGCTCCAGGTTGTTCTCCAGGAAGGAGATTTTCTGCTTCTGGGCAGCGCTGCCCCCGCCGTCGTCGCTGTCCAGCTCCACGCTCTGCATCAACACCAAGGGTCAGCGAGTCGGGCCTGGCACTGCCCACCCTCTGCCCAGCGTGGTGCAGGCCAGGCTTCCTAACCCTCCCTTTAAGAACTCCCAGTCTCTGAAGGCTGTTCTGAAAATGAAAACCAGCAGAGGTTCTAAATGTTTAGACTCAACAGCCTCCCAAATCAGTTCCTTGGTTGGTGTCAAAGTGTTATTTTTTAGAGGTCTGGAAAAAAAACCTCAGATCTGCTCTTGAAAGACACAGATTAATTCTCTGTGATATAGACACATGAAACGAGGTCAAAGCTGTCAGAGCATCGCTTTCTTCTGTTACTACTTCCTGCAAATGTCTCCACTGTGGCTTCTCCATTTCCCTCTGGGAGAATGTGTCCCTTCCCCTTAACACATCCATCTATGCTAAGAATTCAGACTCTACCAATAACCTCTTCTTCTCTATGTATTTCGCTTCTTTCCCTTGGCTCCTTCACAGAGACATGCATGCACACATATATGCACACATGTGCCTGCATAGGTACATGTATGCACACACTTTCTGAAGTATAGCTTCCTTCCATCCTATGAGGCCTCTGGATATGGCCCCTTGTCCATCGCTTTTAAACATCTTAAAGAACAGCCCCATTACTGCTTCCACTCTCCTCCCTGCTTAAGCCTCTTCCAGTTGCTCTTGGGGTTCTCCGTGTGGCAACTCCCCGAGATCAGTGTGTGTGGCACGAAGGCCGAAGCTCAGACTCAGAAGGCACACAGTCGTGCATTCCAGCTCTGCTCTGGCTCTCCCCAGCTGCGCGATCTTGGGTGAGGCATTTAACCTCTGAGCCTACCTCCACATCTGCAACTCAGAGCACTAAGCACCACGTACGTGGCTGCTGCGAAGAGCACATGAGCCACCGGGTGTTACGGTGCTTTAGACACTCTGACCAGCCCCCAGGGGCCTCTGCCACCTCCGGGCGTCTGGCACTGCCCAGCAGGCGTCCGAGGCCTCTGTGCTGTCCCTGTGGTCTGCACATGGCTTTCCACCGCAGCCAGATGAACAGGTGCTCGCTTGAAATGAAGGCCAGGGAAAGGATTACAACTTCCTGCTACCAAGGAGGAAAAATCAGATGGCAAAGTGTTCCCCAGTGGTTTCTGCCTCTAGCACTTTCTTTTAATAACACTCACTGCCATGACGTGGTGAATGTTTAAGCATAAGCAGCCCCAGTGTAAGCAATGCTATTTCATCTGAAAAGGATCCTCTCGGCATCTTTTCTTCTCGGTCCCGTTCACACAAGCAGAACTCACCTTTTTAACCCGGGCAGTCAGGTCCTGGACGAAGAGCTTGCGGAGATTATGCAGCGTCTGCAGCTCCCGAGACTAGAAGAGAAGTTGGAAAAAGCCATGTGAGTGGGGGATGCACTGACATGCAGCACACCGGCTCCAGGCCACCGCTCTGCCAGCCCACGGTCCTCGGGCCACAGTGTCCCTGCACCTCCTCTGACTTGCCCACAACACACACCCACCCCCCTGTCCTGACGTTATCTCCTCAGCACCCCACGGTGCAAACACCGGGAACTCACACAGTGAACCGCAAACTAGAGCAACGCCAGTTCACTTGCTGGGTTCTAACTGGAACCCTTCTTTCCCTCAACCACAAAAATTCAAAAATTTTCTCACCAGAATTCCTAGGGGCTACGTCACTGGAATGTATTCCTTTTTCCTTCTTAATTTCTCACATGCACATTATATATAATGTCAACAAGGTTAAATGAAAAGTTAGTCACACATCCTCCCACCCTTACTGACCATCTTCGTGTTTCTGCACCCACCCCACCCCCACCCTGACCCTGGTCCATTGGCTTTGCATCCCTGAGTGTACGGATGAGGCAAACTTTCCACCAGGTGATCCTGGGGAAGGTATCTAACCCCTCTGTGCCTCAGTTTCTCAATTTTCTTATTTGTACTGTGAGGACAAAACAGTAGCCACTTCATAGCTGTTGTGATCAAACTTAGAACAGAGTTGAGCACACAGTAGGTCGGGGCGGTAGGGAACGATGATGAATACGATGGAGGAATAGCTGTTGCCAAGGACGCTGAGTGATAGTTACCTAAGCACACAAGTGCACAAGCATAACTTCTAAATGGCTTGAAGGTCTTTAGCTGCTCCCCACAAAATGCTGAATTCACCGAAGTCAGTAGCCAGTATTAATGTATTGATGCCCCGTATTTGACAGCCATTTCCTCGTTAGGCTCTCATTGTTCCTTTCGTTGTGCTGGTTCTTCTTATAATTTTCAGTGTAATTAACTTCTTAGGGGCATTTTGGATTATTTTCTACAAATGAACTCTTAGGAATTTGATCGCTGAGACAAGAGCCTGAGTCAAACCTGGTGATCTTTGTTAAGATCAGAAAATACTTCCTTCCATTCAAGTCTCCATGTATTGTGATTAGTTCCTTGCAAAATACTTTCCCATAAGGGAGGAGAAGAAAGTTAAACTCGCATTTATATTCTTCTGTTTGTCCAAGTTGACCTACTTTGACAAAAATGTCAAGGGATGAAGCTCATTCATACTCACAGAAAAAAGGAGACCAGCTAAAAAGCCATGGAAATACTAAGTTCCTTGGAATAAAGGTTCTACATTCATATAGGCCTTTGCCATTCTGTGTTGAAATAAGAAGCACCTGAAGTCAACTGCTTCCTCTAATGAAGCAAATTGCTTTCCGCGGAAGCCAACGTGTCTGACCTGGTGACTACCTGTCCCAGGCTTAGCCACCTCCCAGCAGGTGCAGGGCCCAGGCAGGCGAACTCCCCAGTCCTGCCCCAGGAGCGAGCTCGCAGCCCCACCAGGCACGCCCTCCCTCCCACCACAGGGACTTTACTGACTGAACTGTAATCACAGAAAGTATTTTCCATGAGAACCGCCACCACATCAATGGGAAATGAGAAGGGATGGCTGGTGCCGGGAGAGCATCTTCAGGGGCTTAAGTGCAGTGACACTGAACCCAGAGTGCCGTCACGTTTCCTCTGCTGGTCTTCAGTGAATTCAGCAGTTTGCGGGGAGCAGCTAAAGACCTTCAAGCCGTTTAGAAGTTATGCCTGTGCACATGTGTGCTTGGGCAACTATCATTCAGCTTCCTTGGCAACAGCTTTTCCTCCATCGTATTCGTCATCATTCCCCACCGGCCCCAAACTGCTCCCCTCAGATCTTCCCCGCCCCCCGCACAGGCCACTGCCCTTGTGTGAAAGCTCAGAGCTCAGCGTCCTGTCACCGTGGACAGTGATGGTGGAAACAGGAGGCCCATTGATGGGGCAGGCGGAGGGTCCAGCCCCAAAGCCCAGAGAGTGCCCTATTAAAGCCAGAGGGCTGTCTGGGGGCCAGTGCAGCCTTTCTGGCATCTTCCCTACAGTGGGCTTCAGAGTCCCACCCATCCCCCTGCCCGGCCCAAATACTCAGGGAGACTGACAGGCCTTGAGTGACTGGACCTTGACCTCTTGGCGCCACCTCCTGCCCCCTTTTCCATTTGACCACAGCCACTTCTCTCTGTTGCCTCTGCCTGGAAGTCTGTCTGTCCAGACATCTCCCAGCCCACTGCTTCAAGTCCCTGCTCAAACGCTGCCTCCTCCTGGAGCCTCCCACAGCCGTGCCCCACGTTTCCTATCACCGTCCAGTGGAGTCCATCATTTACTTCCAGTGCTGTCTGTCTCCTCCAGATGAAAGTACACTTCACGAGAGCCAGGGTCGTATCTACTGTTTATCATGCAGCCCAGCACCTGATAAACAGCCCTTAGTAGGTGCTCCACTGATCTCTGCTGAAGGCTGAGTGGATGTAAGCCACAGGCTGCAGAAGCTATATAGCTGCAGGTAGTGATTTGCAACTTAGTTCAATTCTTACACAGGGGTCCCAGGGTTACAGTACTAAGAACAGATGGATGGATGGATGGATGGATGTTTAATCATTCTGTCAAGAGCCAGAGAATAAATTCTACAACTCTCACTTTTCCACAGCATATTTTATGTCTAAAACGATACACTAAAGGCATGCACAGATAAAACTAAAATAAATTAAGTCAACAAATCTAAGTCAACTAATCTGGTCTTTAAGCCAAAAATGAGTTGGCAAACTTGTGGACATACCACCGTCTCCTCCAGCCCTTTGAGGTCCTCCCTGGCTTGTTCCCTTTTGTCGTTGAGCAACCTAAAAAACAAAAATGAAAAGGAAGCATGAACCACCAAGGGGACATCAGAGATCTCCGTAGACACCACTGGCACCTGCAGACAAATCAACAAAACAAACCAACTCACACACAGCCATCGTCTGCTCTAAACTGGCCAGACCTGGCCCAGATATGTGAGTATTGGAATCACAAAAGCAGACTCCGCAGGGCTGTGCTGGGGAGAGAGGAAACGAGTACGGCACACTCACAGGAGCTTCTCCAGCTTCATCTCCCTCTCCCGGTCCTCGATCTTCAGCTTGTTATAGTCAGAACTGAGCTTCTCTTGTTCCAGTTGCAGTTTCTGATTCAAACTGAAATGGGGAGGAAAAAGCAATATGTATTCCATCAATCTGAAACCCTGAGTCCTCCAGCTGAAAACGTGGTTCCGTCCCAGCCCCATTAGTTCTGTGCAATAACGGCGGCAATTCCGGAGGATTTTGAGGGACGGAGAGCAATTTCCCAGCTCCCTCCCTGCCCAAGTGAAAACGAATTTCTGGGAGCGCCTGAGGCAGGAAACACTCGGCTTTGAGGATATATTTATAGTTGGCTTGGGCGAGAGCTTCAAGGGGGAAATAATGAGACGGGGAAAGGGCTGATATTTTGAAACAGAGACAGAGCACCTGTCAGAATTCTACAGACAGCATGCACCACTCAGGGACTTTATTTGGCCATTTCAACTTTTTCTTCCTCTCTGGTCCCATGTTCTGAAAACATCTTCTAAATCGAAATTCCTGGCTCACACTGTGACAGTTCCACTGTGAGAGGTCCTCTTGGAGGGGGACAGAGGGAGGAAACAAATCGAGTATTGGATCTCTGCAAAAAAGAAACTCGCCATCTGTTGGGGCATCTGGCCGGCACCGACAGCAGCCGGCACTGGCAAACCCTTTTGTATGGCCCTCAGCCTGCACCGGGCAGATCCTACGCCCTCTGAGGAAGACCCAGAGGCCCCCCGGGAGGAGCAGACCCAGGAAACATTCCCACCTGCTAACTTCGTCTCCAACCCTCCCTCTTTCTCGCTTTCCTCTTTCTCTTCCCTAAGCAGTGTGAGGGTGAGTAACCAGGACGAGGCGCCTGCATGCTGGCCTGGCCGTGGCCCAGCGCAGTCCCGCTACCTGCTCTGCCAGGTGTGCAGTCCATTAGACCTCTCCTCAGGTGGAGGTGTGCAGCCCATCACATCCCTGACACTTGCTCGGGCTGCCTCTCTCCTCTCTTCAAATGCAAAATGTGAGTGTGAGCAGCTCGGGCACATTGAGAGGAGATCTGGATCAGTGGTCTGGAGAATTAAACTCTTAACTCCAGGTTGATTCCTACTTAACAGCGTGACCCTGAGTTCATCATTTCCCTGAGCTTCCCACATAGACACGGCTCTTCATTTACAGAAACGGGAGGGGAAGGAACCTCTGTCTACACCCAGGGGCAGGGAGCTGGCAGTGGAGGAGACGGTATTTCAACGAAGTTGGTTTTCTTTGCTTTTTATTGGGGGCATTTAAAAACATTAACCTATAGAGTTCAAAAATTAGCAAGGAGCTCACTGTGCAAAAAACATTAAGAATCCCCAGGAGAGGATCCTGAAGGCCCCATGAACATGGCGACCTGTGTGGTGAGGTGGACGGTAAGAGAGGAGGGAGAGGACAGGAGGGAGCCGGGCTCCTCAATGGCTGGCCGTCACAGGAGAATGGCCGTGAGAGGCGTCACCAAGACAAGCTGCCAGGATGCCATCCTGGTGGGTGCCAGGGAACCACAGCTCAGACACCGGCACCAGGGCCGAGAGGTGTGCGTGTGCAGTTGGGGGCCTTGGAGTTGTGCTGTGTGCCTGCGGATGCTGGATGAGGAGGCAGCCGAGCTGCCTTCACTGGAGTGTTTTTTAATCCTCACCCAAGGATATGGTTATTGATCCAAGAGAGAGAAGACGGGTGGGAGAAAGAGAGAAACATAGATGTGAGAGAGAACATCGATTGGTTGCCTTCCATATGTGCCCCGACTGGGGATCAAACCTGAATCCCAGGTACGTCCTGATCAGGAATCAAACCGGCAACCGGTACACAGGACGGTGCTCCAATCACATGAGCCACTGTCCAGGGCCTGGAGTATTTTTTAACTTAACTCCTGAGACCAATTTAGGGTTTGGGATTTTTTTTGTGTGGGGGTTTGTTTTTTTGTTTGTTTGTTTGTTTGTTTTACTTTCATAGATTCCCCACCTACTGGGACATGTGCCTGCCTGTATGAGTCACCAATATGACCCTGTTCCGGGGGGACTCGCCTGCCACCTGCCCCACCAGCACCCCCTGAAGCTCAGCTCCAGAAGGGGGAGCAGACCTGGGGAGCCGCACATCTAGCCGCCATGGCCCAGAGCAGGCACAGAGCCCACAGGTCAGGAGAGCAGAGGATCTGGCTGACAGTCACGTCCTTCCAGGCTGGCCCACACACCAGGCCCACCCCGGGTCCCCGAGCCCCGTGCCAACTCACTCCCGAATCTCATCAATGATTTTCTGCTTCTCCTCAATTTCATCGCGAAGTCTGGACAGCTGCTTCTGGTGAGCCTCCCGGTGGCTCTCCATCTGCTGCTCCAGCGCCTTCTGCAAGCCGGGCCGAGAGTGTGTCATCCGGGCTGGCTCTCAGCCCGCACCGAGACAAGTCCTGGATCCTTCCACCCCTCCCCCGGCCCCTCGCCGTCAGACCTCAAGGCTGGGCCCCAGAACCCGCCGTGCTTTCCTGAGACAACAAAACCCAAGGATCTGTTACAAAACCGAGTGGATCTTAGTCCAGCTCCCCCGAGCTACATGACGTCTCCAGCCAGGTCAGTCAGAGGGCACAGACCTCCTACTGCCCGGATGACCCCTGTGTGAGCTACACTTCCTCACCCGCTGCACCAGTTAATGGTGATGCTCAAATGAGACCTTTCCCGCAAAGCGATGTAGAATCAGGAGGGGCTGTTGGTGAGCAGGGCGTGCTGTTTGTGGAGCAGGGTCCTGCCTTGGACCATTGCTTTCACTATGGGCTTATCCCAGTGGGGCTCATGGATTGCCTAAAACTAACCAAAATTATATATGTTCTCAGATCTCATCTTAGTCACCTAATAACCTTACTTGCCAATCATATTTCCTGCATGTTTCTTTACTGTTTAAAATGTGACCAAAAATAAAGATCACTATGTTTAAGATGGAAATTCAAATTCGGGGTGTTTCTTTAAAAAGGTGTGTAGGTGTGTGTGGGGGGGACGCGGGGGTTCTTCTGTTCTAAGGAAGGATAAGCATTTTTCTTCAGGGGTTAACCTGGTGCTGTGGCCCAGGCAGCGGCTACTCTCTCCTCCTTCATCTGGAATGGGAGAGAATAATGTATGGATACAACCTAACTATCTACAGACATCTCAGGGTGGCTGGACTCCCCCACCCCCCCACCACCACGTCCCCCATCGCATCTCTGAAGGAGACAGGTTCCCTAGGACAAGGCCCAGCCCAGGCGCATGCTCACCTTCATCTCCTCAGCATCCTGCAGCCGCGTCAGATGTTCCTTCTCCTTGTCCTGGAAGCTGACTTCGTGCATTTTTTCTGTTTTAATTTTTAAATGACGGTTTCAGACTTAACTGGAAGGTCTCACACCCAATTATAAAAATTAAAAAAACAAAACCAGAGGAACAGCAATGGCAGGAACATCAGCTATATCACTGACTATAAGCCCGGCACAGAGGAACGCCTGTCAGGGGAGGACTTGTGGCCGAAGCAAGGCCTTGGGACATTGCCTCTGTCCAGGGTGGGGAGGCGGGTCGTACAGGGCCAGGTGCTCATTTGGAGCGGGCCTCTGAGCACTGGCCCCCACCTAGCCTCGTGAGTGACCCCCCCCCCCAGGCAAACGCGTGCTTTGTGGTTATAAACAGGCTGTGTCGATAACATGGCACTCTGCCAAGCTGAACGGCATCTATACCAATGCCACTGCCCAGATCCAATTTACCTCCCATGGGCACGCTGCCTACTCGCTAAGGTTCTGGGGTAGAAAACAATCTAAGGATAAGTACAAAGAAATGAGAAATATAAAATACTCTGCAAATTCAATAGGAAGGCCCCCTGTGTGGGAAGGGCTTTTTTTTTGGGGGGGGGGGGGGGGCGGGGCACGGACAGGCCCAGCCTCCCTGAGTCAGTGGCCCCTGAGCACAGGGTGCAATGGGCAGCCCGAGTTGGGTCGGGGGAGCAAGTGATTTAAGACAGCAGCACTCAGGCCATCAAGCTGCCTCTCTGGTCTGTTTCCCTCATTTCAGGTTCTCTTGCTTCTATTTTATTTCTACTCAGGCAGCCCTTTCCACCACAGAAGCCCTTTGTGGGAGGGAAACATTCTCTTCAGTGCCAGCCTCGGGTGGAGCACTCTATTCCTAACGTTCATCCGTTATCACATAAAGAAAGTATGACAAGGTCACTGAGGGGGTGGGTATATTCTCTTTCTTTTTAAAATCTGCCTTGGCTTTTGAAACAAAATGTACCTACTGAACAAACAACTACATAATAATAAAGGAAATTTAAAAAGAATAGTTTTATCACCCATCCTTTTTTTGCAATCAAAGCCATTTTCATTTCAAATATTAGTGTGTAGGCCTTGAAACACAAGCATCCATTAATTTCTAAATGTTATAACCACAGTAAAAATAAGATACACTTTATGATTTTTAATCTAAGGTTACACTGTAGGCATTGAGCAGCCTTGGCCTACTTCATCTCCAATATGAAAATAATGTTCTGCTGAACAACATTACCACAGTTAATGTTGGACATTCAGGTGACTTCCTTTTTTTCACTACTACAAGTAAATCTGTAATGAGTGTTTGAGATTTAAGAACCCAAAGTAAGAAAAATGCTATGATTATTAATATGTTTTTCAAAATGGTTTCCAAAAGGCCTCTAACAATTTTCATTGCGACCCATAATACATGTGCTCCGGTTTCATCTCGGTGCGTATATTTTAAGCCTGTCTGGTCTCTGCACGTCTAGTCAGCCTCCTCTCAACTTCCTTGTTTACTCAGATTACCGGAGGCTTCCTCTGCGTCGGTACTTCCCTCAGCGAAGGCAGTGGGAAGTGGGGAGGGGGAGGGGGGGCTGCCTGACAAATGAGGGGCTGTCCCAGGACGGAGGGCACAGCGAGCCACTGGCGGAAGTTCACACTTGACCTCAAGAGCAACAATGTCAGAGCCTGGGGTTGGGCACAAGACAGATTTGACTTTAGAGCAGTCCCCGGGGTTGCAGCCTGTGGCTGGCCTGGAGCAGAATGGGGCGGGACCCTCGGTGAATAGACCTCATCGCAATTCTTAGGTTAAGGCAGTGACAGTGAAGACGGAGATGAGCAGGTGGAACGGATAGGCCTTTGATAGACTGAAGCAGGAGTAGGGAAGAGGGGATTCTCTCAGGGAAAGTGGGCCATGGAGCAGATAGAGTGTGAAGGCAGTGTTCTAGATTATTCCCCCCTTCCCCATGATGCCACTGTCATCAGTAGACCTGGAAATGCTTTAATTGAGTAAAAGTGGACATCCTGGGTTCAGCAATGCAGACAGTGCCTGCTTAGGCTGAGAGTTTGACACCTGCAAAGTGGTCATTCATTTACCTTGGGCTCGGAGCTTGGCCAGCTCCTCATTGAGTGAGTCTTGGGACTCTTCCAGCTGCCTCCTCTTCTGTTCCATGTTCTGCATGTAGTCCGTCAGGGATTTGATCTTGGCCTCGTGCTTGAAATAGCAAATAGATAAAAAGAATGAATGACTAGAAGTGGTCGCTCCACTTGCCTGCGACTGTCCAATGGGAAAATGCCATGGAAAAACTGGCAGGGTCCTCCGTTTTTCCCTCTGCTTCTCCGCTTCCCACAGACACACTTCACGGCCACGCCCCTCCTTGCCATCCACAGTGGTGAGACACCAACGCCCAGGCTGGTTTTCTCCTCGCAGAGAATAGAACGCTGGAGAGAAAGGGGTGGGGAAGGGTCTGGGGCTAAGGGCTTCATTCTTTGAACCCACACCTGTGGATTACATCTCTACAAATCAAATATTATGTCTTTTCTTTTTATGTCTCTCAGATTCACCAATTCCTGTCTCATGGACTTTGCATTTTACATTTTCCTCCCTGGTAAGCTCTCTCCCATCCCTCCCAGATATGGACCTTATCAGGCAGACCCCATCATTTTCTTATGGCCCTGAATTTCTACATGACTTATCTACTTTCTTACTTGTTAGCTCATGAGGGCAGAGTACATGCTTAGTAACTATTAGTGGGATGAATGCATGAATGGGAGTTCACTGTCACTTCTAGGCAGATGGAAATAAGCAGACTCCCCCCAACTCACCCCACACCCCCAGGTCTATAGGGATCCCATTTAGGCGGGAAGACGCAGGAGACTGAGCTCGGATCTAACAAAATGACCACTGGGGGAAGACTCAGTTGGAACAGTGAATTTATAAGTATAGCTTTTGATGAAGAGGATGAGTGTAAACAAGAAAGATAACAGCATTTTTGCTGGCAATATCTTGTCAGATTCCCTGGATCATGTCGAAAACCAGACAACCAAGGTTTCTCTTACATTTGAAACCCAGGAAATAATGATGAAATCTTTAGCTCTGTGTAAATTGTAGCAGAGTTCAAAATAGCACCTTATGGAAAACTATTGCTAATGAAGAAAATCCTGCCTGACACAGGGATTCTTTAACCCCAAACATCCTAATATCCTTTTTTCAATATGTTTTTATTAATTTCAGAGAGAGGAAAGGAGAAGAAGAGAGAGAGAGAAACATCAATGATAAGAGATAATCATTGATTGGCTGCCTCCTGCACATCACCTACTGACGATGGAGCTTACAATCCAGGCATGTGCCCTGACTGGGAATCGAACCATGGCCTCCTGGTTCATGGGTCGATGCTCAATCATTGAGCTACACTAGCCAGGTCCTAATATTCTTGACTCCCTTCTCATATTCCCAAAGCCGGTATTCTCTAAGACCTGGGTACCTGGACCCCGGTCGTGGGCTCCAAACTTTACAGCACACCCCTTAGGCTCTGAGCTGCTGCGCCCCATTCCAGTGAGCAGAGGTCACGGGCTAAGGGAGCATGCCCACCTGGGCCACATCCCTTCTATCGGGGAAGTAGATCCACTCTCCTCCAATAGCCCCTCGGACCAGTGCTGCTACTCGCAGCATTTATTTAAATGGATCACAGATGCAGTGACAGAGCTTCCCCCAGGCACAGAGTGCAGGAGGGACTCAGACGTGGAGGCTGGCACCTCCAGGTGGGAAGAGAAGACAGCGGGCTGCAGGCTGCGGGGCCTCTATTTGGACTCTGGTTTTGACCTCTCATAACAGACTCAGGGCTCCCCAAAGCACATGCCATCAGTGTCACAGGGGACCTGGGAAGCACACTGGTGGGGAGGGGGGAGCGCGAGGGCGGGGAGATACTGTGTCCTAATGCTTAAAAATTATAAAAAGTAAACAGTAAAGCAAGTCCAGATAAATTCCACCCATAAGCCACTCTAACTTATCAACTGTTTCCGCCTTATATTCCTGGTTTTATCTATATGAACACATATTTTACAAAGTTGCAAAGCACAACACAAGAACTAATCAGCATTTTTATTTTCACTACCTTCATGTAATTATACTTTTCAAATGACTAGACTTAATAATTTTTTGATGAGAGCTACATAACATTCTCCCATATAACGTTAAGTAATTAGTCTATCAATAAATATTTGAGTATTTTACCTTAAGAAATAGTGCATTCAACAACTTCCATTTAAGGCCTTAATAGTTTTAATCACAAAATGATAATGCTATATAAAATGTAAATTTTCCATTTTTTTTATTACCCATGAAAAATACCATACGTGAGATCATTGGACCAAAGTACACTTACATTTTTCATGGCTTTATATTCCCCAAGTGCTTTCCAGAAGGACTGACCAAATCATACTTTTTTCAACAATGTAGATAAATTTCACCATCACACACTAGCATGGAATAATCTTGTCAATGCCTTGCTGCTCATTATGTGGGTTGTAAAATGGAACCTTGATGTTTTAATTGCGTCTGTTAGACGATGGTGGTGGCAAACAAGGAAGCTGGAGATGGTTCTATGATGACGTGTTATTATCACATTAAAAAGCACAGCAGGACAAGGAATGTGTCTGTCTGTCTGTCTCTCAGGGTCATCAGAGGCATCACTCATACTGATGTGCATCTGTTTCCTCCAATCGACTCCCGCACATTTCATACCTGACATCAGGCAGGGGCAGCACACACCAGACCATTCCAGCGGCCACAGAATCCCCACACCAAGCCCCGGTGGCAGCGGTAGGCCAGAAACCAGACCGTTTTCTGAGACCGCCTTGCCGAAATGAAATGCCACTCCAGTGGGAAGGAACAGAGCAGCCCCGCTCCCTGCGGAGTGGAATGTGCCCGGGGCCTGGAGGCCCCTTCCCGGCTTCGGGTTCACACTGGGGGGAGTCCCAGCTCTGCCTTTCACGGGCGCCATGACTTTGGACACCACGTTTAATGATTCTTAAGTCTCAGTTTCCTCATTGGAAAAACAGAAACAAAAAATAAAACCATTGATTTTTTTAAAAGATCAAGTGGGACAGGCATATAAATTGCTTAGCACAGCATTTGGCCCACTGTCAACACTGAATAAAATGCCACTAACAAACGGGTGGTAGCCATAGTGTCTGTTTTCACCCATTACATTGGTTCTGTGATAGAGACTAAACGATGAAGGAATACTGCCTTAACTGACAGGAGATTTAGATTCCAATCTCACCCATTTATTATACATCTATCTATCTACCAACCTACCTGCCTATTTATTATCCACAGAGAGCTTGCTAGAGATATATAGGCACATCCTTTAAAAAGGGACTGGAGGTAATTTGAGTAACTCACAACAAAATCTTGCCTGGGTTAAATAAGCCTGGACAGCCACTGCCAGGGGAGGCCACGGACAACTACTACACAACGCAAAGCTCATCCAAATCCCCCTCACACACCATCAGCCCAACTGGAGCAGGAGGAAGTGGTTTCAGAGCATGGTGTGAAGGGAAGAGGTGTAAAGGGAAGAGGTGTGAAGGGGAGAGGGGAGGCGTGACCTACCTGGGAGATGAGCAGCTGGCAGGCAGCCAGCTCCCGCTCACTGGCATTCATCTTCCTGTTGGAGTCCATCTGGGCACTCTCGAGCTGCTTGCTGCGGTTCACCAGGGACTTGACCTCTGACTTCATCTTGCTGATGTACAGACGGGCCATGGTGAACTCCTCCTCAATGACGCCATTCACGTCTGCCAGCTGGGCACAGGAGAGGACACAGCTACTGCCTGAAACTCCCAGAGGTCCCTGGGGCCCCTGAAACTCGTCCACGGGACCTCAAGAAGTCATTGGGTTCCTGGTTAAGAATCCCTACTTATAGGACCCCAAACTAAAAATGGTCCTAAAAAGCACTCTATGTTCAACCTCAAGATCTCGGAAACCTCAGGTGAAACTTTCAACTGAAAACCTCTACTAAATGTAATTCTCAATTAACCAGGCTTTCCTTTCTAATTCATTATTACGGTGGAAGAGATAATATCAAAAGAAAAATACACTAAAAATTAAAACAAGAGGTAGCTTTCAAGATGTGTTCCATTTAACATCTTACATCTTATATTCCTGGACCAGCAGAGGCCCAGTGCTTCTAAGGGTGACTCTCAGCCCCTATAGGAACTCCAACCAGAATTTCAATTATGTTCTCTAGAGTCTGCTATTCAGCGAGAGGAGTAGTCTAAAGGCTTGAATATGTTTCTACAGCTAAGGATTGAAAACTAAAAAGGATTTTCTATGTAGTCCTCAATTAAACAACAACAAAAGCTAATGAACAAGAAGGTGCCATTACCAAATCCACGTCTCCTTGCCTCTACCTGCCTGTCCCTTCCAGGCAGACCCGAATCAACCTTATTAAGATCACCTGAGAATAAGTCTAAGTGCCCTTTTAAGACAGAAGCATCTGATAACCAGCATGCCTGCATGAGTTCATGTTTGGTTTCTAAGTTTCAGAGATCTCCTGCAAACAAAAATTGACACAAGGTACTGGGGACAGAAACCCACTTGCTGAGATGCAAACAGAAGGGAAGTTGACCAAATGAGCAAAGTGACTGTGTGCATATTTTGTTTAACCACCAGAGGGCATTCTAGCACCTCAGTCCAGAATCAGCCCGTGAATAGAGGCTTCAGCTCCTTTTAAGACCATGATTCTAAGGGTATTTTTGATGTTCCACAGTATACTCTATCGGCCCACTTTTGTTACTGATGTTTTCATTTGTTCAACATATGACTCTTGTTTCAGTAAACATTGAAGAGTGAGGGGAAAAAAACTGTGTATCAGCCCTGAAAATTGGTAGCAGATAGGACACAAACTGGGCAGCAGATAGGACACAAACTGAGCTCCTGTAACTTGGTGTGAACCTTCCCCAACAGTATTAGTGACATCAGTGTCACTCAACACAACTTAAGATCTATATTAACAGCAAGAAAACCTACAAGTATCAACTCTGGACTCCATTTTAAATTAATGGAGGTTCTTGCATAAGCCCGTTATATTTCTGACTGCCAACAATAGGTCTACCAACACCTCTCCTTACACGTTCCCTTTATCATCCTATAGTAGCATGGAGAAAATGGGTAAGAGACGCCTGCAATCTTAAAATTTTTTTGTTCTTCTACCTTTGAAGACTGGTAAAATGTGGAGCAGAGAAAAGAAACTCATTCTCTAGCCTGAGAATATGTCCTGCGTATTGTCAGTTTCAGGAGAAAGGGACAGGAACATCCATATCTTCTATGTGGAATTCACAATCTGCACCAGTGCCTGGTGGGTAAAAATCGCTGGACCAACAGGCAGGGCATCCTGGGAGGAGACGAACCCCTCCTCTGTCCTGGTCTGTCCTTAGACAAGGACACTTTCTACTTGTGCCCAGATCCCCTGGGAACTGGGAAGATAAGAAATGTATATACAATAAGGGGCTTCCTCCAAAACAATAGTTGGATGTTTCTTCTCCCAAACCAGAACCAGAGCACTGAAGCCCACCCTTGTCCCACCTACCCTTGTCCTAGGAGATCTAAAAAGACATTTGAGTCCATGTCTGATGGGGAGGTGGGAGAGAGAAACAGTTTCAAACAAATGACTTTAACTGTAAGATTCCTCACCCCTTAAGAATTCATATTCACATGAATTCTTAGTTTTAAGTAATTCTAATGCAATGTTATTTCAAAAAGAAGAGTCCAAGTTTGCTGCTGAGATGTTATTTATCACTCTCCCGAGTCCTACAGTGACTCCAACAATAGACACTAGACTGTGTGATCTAGTACAAATGACTAATCCAGGGGAAAGGCTGCCTTCTCCTCTGCTCTGCCTACAGAGGACGAGTCACCCACACACCCACCACCCACACACCCACCACCGGCCCAGGAGCCTGGGTTGTTGTGCCAGGTGCCATTCCCAGGCCAAGGAAAGGTAAGGAAGGTGACTGTTCAGCTTCTAGGACATAAAGTCAAAGGAGGATGAAAGAAGTCAGTGTGGGTCAGGCAGCTAATCCATCCATTTCACATACTCTACTCCCATCCTATTCGTTTGTGGTTGGATTCCTAGAAATCTTTGTTTTAGGGAAAACCCAGTGACACAGTTGGTACATGAGAAAAAGAGGCAGTTCGTGAATAAACCTGACAAAGTCCACACCAGGCTCATCTTGTCATGAGCTGGTCTCATCCTTTTGTTGACTAAATAAAATATTGCCTGGACTCTGTTTCAAGAACAGATAGAGCTGGAGATATAAGTGTCCTTCCATGTCCATATGGTGCCTGACTGATGTATTCTGGAACTGACACGAGGAGATTCCCACAGCCATCCTTTCCCTCACACCAGTACTACCAGGAGGGACCTCGTGGGAACAAAAATACAAGATCACTGAAAAAGGTTTCCTAGATTTGCTCATTTTCTTAGATCAAAATAACTATATTAACTGAGTAGTCCTAACAATAAGGAAAGTGTCTGTAATAAGTAGGACCTAATCAAACTAAAAAGCTTCTGCACAACAAAATTAAAATGCAACCTATGGAATGGGAGAAAATATGTGCAAATCATATACGTGATAAGGGTTAATATCCAAAATATATAAAGGACTCATGCAACTCAATAGCAAATCCCAAACAATCTAATTAAAAAATGGACAGAGGATCTAAACAAACATTTTTCCAAAGACATACAGATGGCCAACTGGTACATGAAAAGATGCTCAACATCACAAAAGATGCTCAACATCCCTGTCACCAGGGAAATGCAAATCAAAACCAAGAGGTATCACCTCACACCTGTTAGGATGGCTGTCATCAAAAAGATGAGAAATAACAAATGTTGTCAAGGCTGTGGAGAAAAGGGAACTTTCATGCACTGTTGGCTGGACTATAAATTGGTGCAGCCACTACGGAAAACAGTATGGAGGTTCCTCAAAAATGAAATTCCTTAGAAGTAGAACTGCCATATAATCCAGCCACCCTACTTCTGGGTCTATAACCAAAGGAAGTAAAATCAGAACCTCATAGGGATATCTGTATTCCCACATTCTTTGCTGCATTGCATACAATAGCCAAAATATGGAAACAATCTAAGTGTCTGTCAACAGATAAACGGACACCGATGTGTGTGTGTGTGTGTGTGTGTGTGTGTGTGTGTGTGTGTGTGTGGCGGGAGGGGGTTTACACAAGGTAAATTATTCAGACACGAGAAAAAAAGGAAGTCCTGCCATTTATAATAAAATGGATGGACCTTAAAGATTCACCCCTCAACTAAAATAAATCATACAGAGAAAGACAAATACTATATGATATCACATATATGTGATAGATAGAAAAAACCTAAGAATGTCAAACTCAGAGGAACAGTGGTTACCAGGAGTTGGGGTAAGTACATGGGGGAGTTATTGGACAAAAGGTACAAATTTCCAGTTATAACATTAACAAGTTTGGAGAGCTAATATTAGCATAACAGGGACCAATATTATAGCTAGTAATACTGGGTCATATAATTGAGTGCTGCTAAAAGGTAGATCTTAAATGTCCTCACCAGGAAAAAGAAATGCTAACTGTGATAAAATGTAGGTGGTAGCTAATACTATAATTGTAATTATTTTTTGCAACATATTATACAATGCATCAAATCAAGATATTGTACACCTTAAATCATACAATGTTATGTGTCTATTGTATCTCAAAAAAGCTAAGGGACAAAATGATATATCTAATCAATATCTGAATACATCATGTAATTTCTAAGTTGACAACCTTTGAGATAATCTGGCTCACCTTGTCATCTTACAGAGAAGCAAAGTGGCTTGTCTAAAGTCACATCACTCCTCCCTTTAGCTCTCACTGTCCTAATAATTAATTCAGAATTACAAGAAAAAGAATGAAATGATTAAGAGTATGATGCTCTACAAGTGAGAGTTATCAATGAAATTAACCAGGGCATCCAATGTCTGGAATCCAAAAATATCTTTAAAACATCCAGTAGAGTTATTTTAAAATAATCTCAGACTTCAGATTCCCAGAGGTAAGGACTCTTTTTTTAAATGCTGAAGCACCAAGACATTCCTTGATTTCATTAGCATTTCTCATCAGCTCTATTTTAGAACTTAGCATAAAAACATCTCCCTTTATCGTTGTCAGCAGCAGGCTCCAACTTGCCATAAATCAACTCCATCTTCATAATTCCAGGGCCATTCAATCACCCAAACATCAAAAGTTTATAGCTCAACGACAATGTATGCTTCTAAAAATTCTTCTCAATCCTCAAATGTAAAATCACCAAACTGGAACTTAATAGGGTTCACCCTATAGTACCTGGGAATTCTAGCTAAAATTAGATTCATTCATAAAGTTCATGAAATATTCAATTACAATAGAGGTTAAATGAAAGAATGATAGGTTTACAAGAGCTCATATATTCTAAACCCGGAGCTATGACATCATCCAAGAAGAGCTTTCTATGTTTTCAGAAATGTCTATAAACAATGTTATTTGGGGGACCCTTTTCTAGTACAATCTCAACTAAAAAGCTGAGAGTTCCCACAAAGCAGAATTCAGCCTTTTAAATGTAAATGGCTAAATTCAAAGATTTTGTTTTAGAGGCTTGTGAGGTTGGGAGCTGAGCAATACAGCACCATTTCCTGGCTTGACGAACATACACATTTATCAGTGGCTACTCTGTACAAGGTACTGTATTCTTATAAAGCTACTGTCATCAAAAGTGTGTTATTGGCATAAAAGTCAGATCAATGAAACAAAAGGAGACTAGAAACAGTGTACACACTTTCTTTGTGGTGGATATGTTCCTTATCTTACTGTGGCTTCCTAAGTATATATATATATATATATATGTCAAAACTTCACAAATTGTACACTTTAAGTATGACTAACTTTACATCAATTATATCTCAATAAAGCGATTTTTAAAAATATGTCTATCTTATTTTTCAATGGCATCTCCATATTGTGGCAAGCTGTTAATTTTTCTTGACTGATAACTTTGTTTATTCTCTCCCCACCCCCCATTCCTAGCTCATGGACAACGCTTACCACCCCTATCCTTCTCACTTCCCTTACTCCTCGCCATCAATGGCACCAATGTGCACAACCCAGGGGATTACTGATGGTTAGTTTAACCCCATAATGCTCTACTTTCCTAGCTTCCCTTGCAGTTTGGGGTGGGTATGCACCCCACTTCTGGCCAATAAGGCACAGGGGGATGTCAAGGGGACTTTTGGGAGACAGTTCCTTCCTGGATGAAAGTTGGCTGCGTTTCAGCCCAGCCCACTTGGATGTGGTCGTGGGAGGATGTGCGGACTGGTGCTCTAGCTGCTACCTTGCTACTATGAGACAAAAACCTACAGACACAAAAAAGGAACAGGCTAAGGAAGACACAAAGAAAACAGAGAAAAGTCCTGGCTACCTGACATTGTAGAAGCACTGTACCAAACCAGAACTTGCTTCTAAAACTTTAATAAGCTAAAGAGGAATCTTGTTAAAATGCAGAGTCTGATTCAGTGGGTGTGAGGTAGGCCTGAGCATCTATATTCCCAACAAGCTCCAAGGTGACACAAATCATACCCTGAATAGCAAGATTCTAGTCTCATACGGTGAATAATTAAATGTGGCTTTGTTTTTCAAGCCACCGTTAGAATCCCATTACTTTCAGCTAAACGCTCCCCTAATTCATGCTGATGGGTGGGGTAATTTTCGCTCTGTTGGTTTCCCATAGAAAAGGAGAAACACAATTCTGAGACCAGAACTGTTGGTTAACCTATCTAATTCCCAATTTCTATCAGTTCAACCAATACTTGAAGACATTTCCTATATCTGAAGGTAATTATTTTTCTCCTCCTCCTTACTCAAGCAATCATTCACTTAGTCAGTCGTCAGCCCTTTGATCATTCTTACTTGAATACTGCAAAGCACGTGGCAGTTGCAAAGCACTGCACCCCGCATTGGATTCCCGGAGAATCGAGCACAGACCCCCTTGCTGGGATCGCGCTGTTGGAGAGCAGGTAGAGAATGAGGGCTGACTTACGGTCTTCACGTCGTTGGTGCCGATGATGCCGCCTATCTCTCCCAAGTCCTTCAGCAGCAAGTTCAGGATCTCCGTGGCTCTCTTCTTCTGGTGGTTGCTAAACTCTTGCAGCTGGCTCAGCTCTCGCTGTGTGGTTGTCAGTGTGGTCTGAAAAACACATTTCCGCAACAAATTAGAAGGCTTGCCCATCGATTTTACACACTCAGCCACCACAATGAGTAACAACATGATGTAAGGTGGAGTTCTGTTACCATTTTATGTGATTCCATATAAGGGTTCCTTTAAGTCAAACAATAGCATACCACTGAATTCTTTGACAGGAAGAGAAAGCCGGTTTACCCTGGCTATGTTATGTCTACATATCAAATGACAATCTCCAGGTTAGTGAAATAAGTTATTAAAAATAAATAGAGCCCAAAGGAACCCTGAGGTTCAGAACGTGCACTCACATCTTCCTACCTACCAGATGTTCTGTGTCAATTCACATCCTCAAGGGTCTAAACATACCTGCAGGCACCCCCCCACCCTCCATGTTCAAACAAACCTGCTCCCTGGACCACTTCCACATTCCCATCTGACTCCAGGCTGGAAGGCCCAGAGGGGCATTAATGCGTTTAGAAAACAACTTAGAGAAATTTTCATCTTCACAGTGAAGCTGAACTGAACATTCTTCACCTCCTTTCAAAAGTAATCAAATTCAATAAGATCGGCCTTCTTAATATATATAACAGAAGCTCCATTTTATTTCCAAACATTAACAAACCCATTCTTTTCCATCCTTCATGTGTGCTACCAAGAGGTATGTATTTTGAACTAACTAATGAAGTAACTAACTAACTAACTAACTAAAACTTTCAGCATCAAAACAATAGTCATCTTTTGGTGTCTTGGTATTAACTCAGCCAACAACAAAAAAATAATTCCCCTAAATTAAGGAGCTCTGGAGGCTAATACAAAGACATTTATTCAATTCTTCCACCCGCAGCTATTTTATTAGAGCACTTTTTAATGATCTTACTAAAAATAGTACTCTAAATGAGTCCAGTAATACTTCAGTTTGACAGAAAGTAAGAACCGTATTGTGAAAAATGTTCCATTGTTTTGAGAAGCACATACCGAGGACTAGTTAAGAGCCCAGTAGAAGAAAACAAGCAGAGGAAATGGAAGTCTCCTCCTTCCCTACGTGACTGCCAGTCTGTCTTTCCTTGTTTTTGTCTTTGTTTTGGTATTACCACCACGGGTATCACTGTGTTTTAAAATCCGCAGGGGCAGGAGATCCCATCTTGGGAAGCCATTTAAAGAGTCCACCTCATGCAGTTGAATGTATGGAACAAGGAGCCTTTTCCATCTGCTTTATGGTCAGCAGCCTAGAGCTTCCCTGTACCATCTGCTGCTCCTCCTTGCCCAGGAGGACTGGATCCTTTCCACAGAGCAGTCTGGGCACAATCTCACAATACCAGACCATTGGGCTGAGGTGCCAAGGGCAGCCATTCAGCTTCCTACCACCCATTTTCCAAACAGAAAAGGACAAAATGGACACAGCCCACCACCAGCCACCTTGCCAAATGCTCACTGGCCCTGATGCCATGAGCTCACTGTGCAGGACCAGCAGCATCTTTCCCTGGGAGCATCTGAGAATGAGAACATGTGCTGACTGAAGCACTGGATGAAAATAGGACAACAAACCAACCAAACAGCCCAGGCCTGGGCTAGCACGGGAGTGTGGGAGGGAAGGGACTGCATTCAGAAGGACATAACAAGAAGAGGGAAGACCATTGCCTTCCAGGGTCACCCACTCTCACCTACTGATTTAACTTGAGATTTGCTTATTGAAACTGCAACAAATGCACAGGTCTATGTTAAGTGCTTTATGTGAACTGCCACATTCTCACACCCTGAAAGAAGCACGCTATTATTGCCATTTTTACAAATAAGGGAACGGATACTCAAGGCTTTTAAATATTTTGACTAAGGCTTAACAGTTCTAAGTCAAAAGTTTAACCAGAGTCCTGGCGGGTGAGGCATCCTGTACACCAAAAAGTGGTGAGCTCAATTCCCAGTCAAAGTACATACTCCAGTTGGGGTTCATGTGGGAAGCAACTGATCGATGCTTATCATATCCCCCCCCCCAACTTTTTCCTCTCTGTAAAATAAATAAATACCAATAATTTTTTTTTAAGTTTTTAAATAACTTTTTAACCAGGATTTTTCTGGCTCTAAAGTCTGCACTCTCCTGGCTATTCCGCAAGACATCCCTGCTAACGTTATAAATCTATTGAACAGAAAACAGTTGTGCTATGCAGTTCTAGGATGAGTGGACGAAAATCACTTACACAAAATATTTCAATTATTGAAGGATTTCAGAGAATGCGTTTAAATCTAACACTGAAAAACATTCAGCCAACTTCCTTCTCCTTTATACAGTCTGTCAACAACCATGGACAAACACAAGAGTGACCACCGAGGAGTCCTCCCTGGACAAATGCTCCCACCGTTTTCTGGGCCAGCTCATCGGTCAGCTGCTCATTGGCCCTCATCTTGTCCTCCACCTCCTGGGACTTCTGGTCGTAGTTGACAGCCAGCTCCTCCAGGGCCTGCAGGACTTCTTTCACCTCGTCTTTGGCTGCCTCGTTTTCAATCTGGAGCCGTGTCAGCTCCTCTTGGATCTTCTCATAGTCTCTTCTTGTGGAAGCTAAAAGCTGGGAAATGAGTTGGCACAGGACTGGTGAACCTAATGTATGTGTTCTAGTCTCTATCCAAAGCAAAGTAATTTTAAAAAACAGACCCCCAAAAAAACTAGTTGGAAAAGCGCAGGATGACGAGAACCCCTACTGTATATCCAGATGTTAAATGTAAAATCAGCATGTTATTCAAAAATCTGCTTCTTCCTCTTTCTCTTCTTTCTAACTTTTTTTTTCTTTATTCATTTTTATTTAAAACTGCATAGACTTACCTCGAAGAATTGATCACAGATAAAATATCACCACACTTTGTAGCTGGCTGGCCATCCCCTATGTCTAACAATGTTATGGGGGAATCATTTCTGAGGACACGAATACTTACATGGCTTCTTAATATTATCATTATTTCACATTATAAACTGGTAAATTTCAGAGTCAACCAAGACAGAATAAAAGGGCAACCGTCAATTTTTCTTAACAGTCATCATGGACGTAGAGAAGCACATACCCCAAAAATGAAATGATTGACAAGTGAATGGCTGGGCATATAGATGCTTTCATTATCTCTGTGCCTATTGTGTTTTGTTGTGTGTGTGTGTGTGTGTGTTTTCCCTGGAGTAAAGACATATTGCCTTAATGCTATAGGAGAGAGGTGGGGAACCTTTCTTCTGCCAAAGGCCACGAGGATATTTATAACATCACTTACGGGCCATACACAATTATCAACTTAAAAAGTAGCCTTCTGTATGTGATCAAACATCTAATTAACTCAGCATTCAAGTCTCGGCGGAGCCGGACCAAATGATTTTGAAGCCTTATATGGCCCACCCGCCTGACCTTCCCTATCCCTGCTACAGAAAAAGTTTTAAAAGTTTTAACTGCCCTCGCTGGTTTGGCCCAGTGAAAGGTCGGAGGTTTGATTCCAGTTAAGGATGTAGGGAGTGGCTCTAGAGTTAGGCCTCAGATTGACCTGTGGCAGAGCCACAAACAAGTCCCAGCTTAGAGGGCAGAGCCCTCTTAGCATTATTAATTTTGACCTTATGACACTATCTAGATCCTTCCTGGGTAGCTAATGGGCTATGGGAGGTGCAGCAAGTGCTGCCACAACAAGTGAAACTCACAAGAACATTGTAACTATGGTAACCATTACCTTATTTTTCTCTGACTATAAAATAAAGCCTCAGCTTGCTGGCTGGATCCTTCTCTGGCAGGGGTAGGGAAGGTCCGGCTGGTGGGCTACATAAGGCCTTCATCCAAGCACAAAAGATCCACTGAGCCCCAGCTATACTCTCTGTCTGTCTTTTCTTTAATCCTTCACTGCTCCTCCTCAGGCTCACCGAACCACTGGCTCACCGAACCACAAGGGCTCATACTTCAGTTGCAGGCTTGAAACCCTGGCCCAGTCGGAGCGAGTGCAGAAGGCAATCAATGGATGTGTCTCCCTCACATCAATGTTTCTCTCTGTCTCTCCCCCTCCCTTCCACTCTCTCTAAAAATCAATGGGAAAAAAAAAAATCCTCAAGTGAGGATTAACAACAACAAAAAAGGGAGTTTAACTGTAACAAAAAAAAAATAATGTTTACCACAGGCAGTTGTACCAACTTGGAAATGCAAAGGGATAGAATGGGAGGAAGAAGGCACGAAACACTAAGCAAATGGAAGGCTCAGCTACAGTTCAGAGGAAAATCAATTAAATATGGTCCATCTCACCACAAAGGCATGCATGATCTCCCTGCCAAGGAAAGCATTTGGGCAGGGGTATAATCCTTGTCGCAGAGAGATGAAGCGAAACAAAGAGGAAAGGAAGGAAATGGCTATGAAAAGCTATATCTATGGGAAGTTGGGACTGAGGACATGAACCCATGCCACCTGCTATAATTGCATCGCCTGACACAATCCATAGCATTTTAGCAACAAAGTAGGAAGCACCCTAAAGCACAAAAGAGAAAAAAAAGTATTTAGATGGTCCTCAGAAAGAGAATTATGAGCCACCTATACTTGATAGATTGTCTCTTCTTTGCTTAGGTCCCTGTTTTGTAAAATACTTGGCAAAACGCAAGGCAATAAAGACACTTACTGGAGAATTGAATGCCATCAGGGAGACTGAAAACAATTTGCCACTTTTTTATGGTATCACATATATATATATATGAAGGCGGTATTTGGACCCCTTTCCACTCTGGGTTCCCTCCTCTACTTTCTAATTTTCATTTGTTTGTTTCTCCTACAAGATAGCATGAGAACACGGTGTGTATCGCATACCTGAGCCAGCTGATTTGCAAAGCTGAAAAAAGCTAAAATGTCAAGAAACAAGAGTGCTGAGCACTGCGTATGAGGAATTAAAACCAGCCTTATCCACTTATCGAGTTCCCCTGTCTCTGCTCTTCAAACACTAAGTGTAGCAACCAGCTACTCCCCCTCAAATCCCAGGGCTGTACCAAGTCAGACATTCATCTTCTAAATTCGGGCAAAACCAGCTTTTAAGGGGCTTTGAAAAGAAGTCTACCAGGAAATTTCCACATGATTCAGTGATTTCGAACAAATTCTTTGCAAATTAAAATTCTGGAACAAACATCAACAACAAAGAGTAATAAAAGAACTTTGTAAGAAAAAATTTATTATTATGAACTTTACCTCATCCTGATCCAACATCTGCTGCTTTAGCTTTTCAGCCAGCTGGCTCTGCTGGTTAATTTCATCATCCTGAAATGAAACATCATGTTTAATTCTTTTCGGTGAGTTATGTCATTTTTGATATTCAAGATAGTTCGATACCAGGGTGCCAGCTGGGAGCTTCCTAATATAACGAAGGGAATGGCGTGGTGTGGTGCTTCCCCTCAGAAAAGAGACTGGCTCTGGGATTTTGATTTGGTTAAAATGTATCTCACCCTCTTTTGTCAGCAGATGAGACATCTGGGTATTATGGAAAATGTAATATCCTACACATTAAACTCAGCCCTGCTCTTCCAGAAACCAGAGCTCCAGGGCTTGGGAACTGAAAGGGACCTGGAGCTCCCTCTCACGATGTAAAGATGTTAACAGGGACTTCCTAGCTCAGAAAGCAAGGCAGGGAATGTCTGACCATCTGCACTATAATGTATTCATGCCCCACATCTTGTCAAACACATCAGTGACCAGGAATGTGTACACGTGATATGTGGGAGAGACCAGTATTTCTACTTCAAGCCTCTTAGAGAGATTGGGAAAATATTTACTGGAGAATTAACCTTTCGCATGAGCAGATTTCCCTCTTGATTGGAAGGTACTTTTCTTACCGGTTTAAAAAAACACACAAAAATGCAGCAACAGTAATTCTTACTTTCCAGCCTGTCACTGACGTGGGAAAGGGTCTTCCCACAGGCAAATCCGTTCTCACTCTCATGTTCTGCCACTAGGTTGCTGCACAAAGCCAGGGCTGCCAGCCTCGCTGCCCAGGCAATCGGCTCTCCCTCTCCCTCGGCACCTCCACCCAGTGTGGGCCACCCAGCTGGCCACCGACACCTGGCTACAGGAGGCTCAGTGTTCACTGAGAATGTGTCCATGAGTTCAAGTGCACATCCGAAGCACAGCCTGTGAGAACACCAACGGGGCTCTCCCTCAGAAACAGCAGGAAATCCTATCTGATGATCCCAAGCAGAGACCCCAAACAGAGACAGATTTAGTTCAGTATTGGGGTCTCTCTCCATGAGGTGCTGTTCAGGTGTTTTCATCAACAGCTGGAGGGGAAGTGGAGAAGGAAGGGGTAGAGGAGAGGGGAGAAAACTACACTGTGCTCTCTACCTTTTCTGGAAGGGAGGTGAGATAAATTCAAGGGCCTCCTTGGCAAACCTTATTAGCAAAAGCTCAGTTTTCCACGGGCTACTCTCCAGCCTTCCTGGTCGTGTCTGTGCATACATTTAAACCGGATTAGCTCAGTGTTTGTCACAGCTAATGCTTCCCATGGAGCGAGACAACTCTGAAATAAATGTTACAGCATCTGCACCTCCTTTTCCTTCATGTAGCACATCTTTGGCCTTAATTCTCTCCTCAAAAAGACCCTGTTCTATGGAATTTTTTACATTGATGTTTCTTTAATGCTTCTTCAAAATACTCATGATTTTCCTCCCCAAACCTGATTTCTGGCAGGAGAACTAGGCAAATTACACCCAAGTGAAAGTGCTCAAAATGGTACGTCCACAACTGGGAAACTATTTTATAGGTTTTTTCCTTCTCTTGTACATTATAAACTTAGAATGTTGGGTACCAGGAACAATTTTCAATTATGTTCCTCAGCACATAAATATTAAACAACATAAAAAACTCAGGGTGTTTAACATCAGGAGCTGCCATCTTCCCTGGGACATATAAATACCAGCCACACGTGATATAAATCACGAGAGAAGACAAATAGTGCAACAAGCGCTTTGTTCTTATCCTGTGTCCATTTCAGAGCCTGGAGATCCAGCTTCCTGCCTGACAGGTGACAAGGGGACAATGAAGTGATTCTTGGGGTGTAGTGAGAAGCCACAGGCCCCTCTCCACATCTGGGAAGAAGGAAGAACAGGGATCACACTATGAGAACATAAATCACTGAACCAGAAACTTCTCCAAAACTAAGTTACCCTTTATTAAGGCAACTGCTCTAAGGAAGAATAATGCAGTCTGTTGTGATCTTTAAAAAAAAAAAAGTCTTGAAACTTTCAGAATAAGATGTGCCATGTCATCTATATATATCATAAGTACATCTCGCACACCATGTTTACGCATGCTCTCTCTGATGCTATTAAGATCTCGTCCACCAGATTTTAAAGCACTTTTCAGAAAACATTCTTGTACTTGAGTTTTCTTATCCATGAAATAGGTGAATTGTCAACAGGTCATTTATGAAGATGCCTTTGTTGCAATGGTAAACAGTGAAATAAGGTTCAACTTGTATTTCTACTTACATTTTATTCCTTCTCACATATCTCCAATAGTACAGTAGCACTGGAGAGGTGATGGGGGATGAGAGAGACAGTGCCAACAGCAGTCTGCTCACCTCATAACGCCGCTATCAGCCCACCTGTAAATCATCACCCTCTGATTCCACATACAATGTGGCTCCTCCCATAAGCAAACAGAAAGGGAGAAGACAGAAAAGCATCTGATATGCATGAGGAACTTTTACTCCCCATCGCTAACTTTTGAAGTAGCAGATATGAGGCCCATGCTGCAGACAAGAAAAACATCTTCCACAGGCCTGGTCACCAGTGCAGGTCTCAGTATTTTAAGTCACAGACCAACTCTTAAGAGCAAGATTGCCGTCGCACAGCCCTGTTTGGGTGAGCACTGTCCTCAGATCCTTGAAGGGACAGCACAGTGGGGCAGGGTGGGCAGCTGGAAGGAGACTGGGTAGCCTTTCTCCCACCACAGTCTACATGGGTTCATTAGGGCTGGCACGTTCCTCACTTAAAGGGCAAGGTCAACATGGGATGAGTACTGAGCTGGGAGTCAGAAGTTGTGTAATCTCAGGGCAGCTCTGCCACCTACGGGTGATGCCAACTTGGGTAAAACATGGCAATAACCTGGGCTAGTTTCTCATCTGGACCCAGATACTTTCAATTCAACCACTCAATAATCTATGTTGGTAATTCCAACTCATGAATTCTCAAAAGTATCAAGCCACCTTCACCATCAGAAGCATGAAGAACTTTCTAAAAACCTTGAAGGCAGTCTATGGAGGTCAAACCACCAGCTCTGGTGCCACCTAAGGCTGAGGCTTGAGGGCTCAGTCCTCTCCAAGACCTCTTAGCGTCACCCTGGGATGGACCGCAAATGCTAACCTCAAAATGTGTATTCTATAGGGTTTTCAAGGCACGAGCTAAAAGGAAATAATGTAACAGAAAATGTCCCAGGCCAGTCATCAGGAGGCAGACTCCAGGGCCAGCTCCGCCAGCTGCCTACCGAGTGCCCCAAGAATTGGCATTTGCATCACTCTGAGATAAGTTCGCATTATCCCCTGTCGGAAGCTGCAATCAAAACTCTAAACACTTTTTCAGATCACCTCAAGCAGCAAAGGTAAATGATCCCAATTCCAACCATGGCAGGTGTCTATTCATAGAGAAAAGGTAATAGAAACCAAATTATCGTCCCTCATCTAAGATTATTTGGGGATTATTAAAATGAAACCAAAATTTCTAAAATGGGGGGTGGGGGGCGGGGAACCACTACAGTAGGTTTAAACAATAGCATTTCTTTGGAGACATCAAGAAACTGCCTATATTGGTAACTTGTTATTATTCTCATTTTTCTCCTTTTTACTTTGATGTTTTGTGCAAAATCCCTGGGTAGAAATGGAAGGGTAACTGTAAGTCAAGGGCAATTAACCCAGCTTTCACCGGTGTGAAGAGCTTATTAAACATGTCACCAGAAGGGCAGGGTGACCCCAGTTCAACACTGTCACTATAATGCCAAGTCCCAGAGTCACCAACACAAAGCAGAACAAACTTCCTTAAGGCAACCAGTCACATGTCCCTTGTAAAGGTGACACCAGACGCTGAGCTTTACTCTAAAGGGAGGCCTGGGAGATTAATGGCAAAGTTAACATAACAAAGCTGTTTCATTCAAGCCAGAGGTGTCCCTGAGCACTCTGAGCTGAACGACAGCAGAAAAGATTAAATCAGACTAAAAATATCAGCAACCCTGATGAAATGAACTGAAAGGATTTCGAATATTTCAAGGGCAGCATGCCAAGATCATGGGAGACATCAATTTAATTTCCTGTGCCTCTGGGATCCCTAACCTGACCTCCACTGGGATGAATGATACACAATGTTCTCGGACATCTCTTTTCCTCTGTTCTAACTTGTGCACTGACATGACTGTGTCCCAAAAAGTTTACCATAAAAAAAACGGGCATCTCTAATCAGTATGTTCAAGCTACCTAATCAGCACGTTCAAACTACGTCATTCAAGAGCATACTCTGAAAACAGCTCTGCCAATAACACAGGAGCAATCAGACCACACACCACCACTGGGGGCTCCATCACCATGAGCTACAGATTAAAGCACACACTTGCGGTTTGGAAGCCCCCAGCCTTGTCCCCATGGACGGAACCACTGTGGGCGTCCCACAGAGGTGAAGAGGATGCCCAGAGAAGAAAAGGAGGGAGAATTAAACAAAGATCATGCACACTTTCATCCCTTACCCCTCTCTCATGCATGACCAGCCCCAGTCCAGTTTCTAGAAATGAAGACTATCTGTCTATGCAGGCCAACACTCCCCTCTTCCAATCAAATTTCCATGAAAGTCCCATCCCATGTGAGTCAAGCTCCCTAACTCTGTCCAGTCAAGAGCTGGGCAAACACTGGGAAGCTAGACAAAAACGTCAGTCTGCAGCCCTACCTCAGAACACAGGGCTGGAAGCAGCTTCTGGTCAATAGTGCTGGGACCTGCCACCGTTAGTCCTTGCCCCAGAGCAAAGACTCGAGTCTCTGGCTACAGACCTTATCATCCAGTTGTCTGTAGAGACTGGAGAGCTCCTCGTCATACTTCTCCTTCTCTTCAGCAGAGATGCTGGCGACAACAGCATCGACCCCGGAAACAATATTGTCGATGATGGGGGTGTTATCGCAGGGCTCCAGGGTCTTCTGGTCCTTAGCACTGATCTGCTCATCCTCAGGCACAGCTTCTCCTGCAAAACAAGCCGAAAGGGGCGGGGATTGAAGAAATGCAGCACAAAACCCTCCAGGGGGAGTTCCAAAACCAGTCACTCCCATGAACAAGGTGGAAGGACATAATAAGAGCTGATATATAGAGCTATAGTTTGTGTTCTTTCTATTGGACGAGAAAGGTCATAATTAATTGGCCAAAACTGGTCCTACCATAGAAGCTCTTAACTAACCCAACTTGCAGCCATGCTCAGAATTGTCAGCTACACTTGACTTCTGAAGAGTATGCTGGGGCTTTACTAGAATCATGTGCTCTCTAGTGACTGATTCAAAGGGAAACAGACCTCTGAGGCATCCTAATTACCAATTAATTAGGTTACTATTTCATTAATGGAAACAGCCACATCAAGTTACAAATTCGCCACTGTTTAAAAGAACATTGCAGAGCCCAAATTCTCAAACTTTCAACTCTCTGAATCCAAAGCAGGAAGCCAGGTAACCATGGACCCAGGAACCCTGGCTGGCACCGCACAATCATATAATACATTCCACCATCGGCCACTCTCTCCTGCACGAAGTCGGAATTACTGGCTCTACTGGAAAGTTCAAACAGAATAATTTTCTGCAATGCCAGGTTTTCCTAGGAAAGAAAAAGCAGCCAATCTAGGGTATCTTGCAGAGACTTTACATACCACTTCTCAGTCTGCAGATGGTGGTGTTGGGCTTTCGAAAGAAGCATTACCAAGTCTGACCATTCAAATTGAGGAAAAAGGTGAAGCTCTCAAGCTGGCCAATGGCTATCCCCACCAAGAAAATCACCTTGCAGAGATGCTCTGCAGAAAAAGGATTCTGTGAAAACCATGTGGCCCAGCTGAGTCTCTCAAATATCTTCTTGGAAAGCAAACCAAAACCAAACATACTTTCCCCATCACAATGTTTACCATCAACTTCACACTCAGTTTGCTACGATCAGTGAGTGTCTGCACCGTTCCAAGCCTCACTCCACTTAGCCCATCAAATGCATTTTGTGGAAATTCCCCAGGAAAACTGCTCTGAGACAGAGGAAAGTCCTCAAAAAAAAAAAACAAACAAACAAACACACACACACACACACACACACACACACACAAAACAAAACAAAACAAAACAAAACACAGGACTGAGATCCTAATCCGTAGATTCACAAACAGTATAAGTCATGCCTCCAGGAACCCACCTGAACAGTGTATACATGTATCACACTATAAACAAAGCACTTTGTGATGTGGAAGTATTGTTGCTTAAGATTCCATTATCAAACTGATCATCACAAATGGCCTTCATGCCAAATAAAATTAACATGAAATGATTTCAGTTGTATCACAGTTCTGTTTCAAGCAGAAACTTGAAGCAAAACCTGGAATCAACTATGGTATTACTTTTGTTGAATATAAAACTGAGCCAACCCTTTTTCCCTCTAAAGCTCAGCTAGACCCAAACCTTTTCCTAAAATTATGGACCTGAAAGCAAAACCAGAATATCAGATTAGCCTTTGAACTGACCCTGAACCAGATCAATATTTCATTCAGTTTCAATTCAGGTTTAAAACATCCACCAACAACCTTAGTGTGCAGACTGAATTTCACCCAATTAAAGGACTTTTGTATTCTCTACAGCCTGCTAAATCCCAGGTCATAAAAGCAGTACCATGTTTTAGTTCTTAAGGATTATTTTTGCTTTAAAAAATTGCACACACAAATACATCTTTTCTAGCCCAGAGTATACACCAAAACTTGATATCCCTACCTCCCAATTTCTACCTCTCCAGACAAAGTCACCACTAACACTTTGGTAAATGTCCTTTCTCTGCTTGGCTCATGACTGTATCTCTAATTCTTCAGTTCCAGCTTATGAAATTTGTGAACGTGGCAACCCAGTGCAGTAGGAATTTGATCTTCCAGTTTAAACAGGATGGTGAATTCTTAACTGTACTAGACCACAAACCTGTCGGGTGTTGGTCATAGTACCCATAGGCCAACTTGCCCCAAGTCCAGAAGTGAGATACAAAAACATCTGGAAGAGACATCTCCCTGTGTCCTTTGGTTCCAAATGGCCATAACGGCAGTGCTCTCAGAAGGCTGATGTGAGCTAAGGAGCTGCCCTGGGCGCGATTCACTTCCTCCGGGCAGGCAGAAGCCAGGAAGGAAACCCCACAGCCTAGCAGCAAGCACCTGCTCCAAGCAAGCTCCAGGTTCCACCCCCCTGGAGCTGCTCCCATATCCCACTGCGGAATCAGGACAGCACCAAGTGCCAGGTTGTCCGAGGCAGAGATCCAAGTTCAGCCACGCTGACACCAGGTCCCTGAAAGTGATCGCCGAAGGCATAAATGTTTCCAGTGCTTGGCGGGCCACTGAGCCACTCTGCTCCTTTCACAGGCTAATGAATCACCGGCCCACTGCCCGCTTAACCTCCTGGCTTGCTTTTTACAAAGGAGAGGAAATGATAATGCCCCTAATACAGCATTGTCCTAAGGATTAATTAAAATAGTATCTGGCCGGGACCGGTTTGGCTGAGTGGATAGAGTGTCGGCCTGCGGACTAAAGGGTTCCAGGTTCAATTCCAGTCAAGGGCATGTATCTTGGTGCGGGCACATCCCCAGTGGGGGGGGGGGGGGGGGTGCAGGAGGCAGCTGGTCGATGTTTCTCTTTCATCGACATTTCTAACTCTGTCCCTCTCAATTCCTCTCTGTGTAAAATCAATAATATATATATATATATATATATATATATTTAAAAATAGTATCTATACAACGCAAAGATATTATTGTTTAAAGTCCATCTCTTAACCTCTCCTCTCCCCGACAAACTGTCAACTCTTTTAGGCTTTGCAGATAAATTACTATTTTTAGTTATTCTGAAATTAGTGTTTCTGGGCTCTTCATAATACTTTTGTGGTTAGAGCTCATTTCCAACATTAAAATGCAATATGTCTTTGCAAGCCTCTTTCAGGTTTACTTTCACTGTTATTATTAAGACACATTTGAAACCTACAGCAGACTTTCTGGTTTCTCTTGACAAATTCCCTGAATCAAAGCATCAACACGTCCCCCACACAAAGCTGCATCTACACAAGGTCAGGCAGGCGGGATTGTTTTTTGCAGCAGCCGTGCGGGCCAGGAACAAAGCAGCACGCAGGAACAAAGCAGCAGGCACCACAGCCCCTGCCCAGAGAGGACCCGGAGCCGCTGCCCCCAGCGCCGCTGCCCTTCAAAGGGCCGGGAAAATGACTTCCAGAAGCGTCCCCGGTAACGACACTGTCCGGCTCACAAACACGTCTGGGGATTATAAATTCCCAACTCCGTGCGCGGCCTGACGCGAGGCAGTCTGTCTCCATGGCAATCCCGCCGCCGTAATTGAGAAGATCCCGGCGCTGCAGAGCGGCTCTCCCCAGTAGCCCCCAAGAGGTGATTAAGGAGTAACTGATTGTAACAGGAAGACAGCTGCGAACAAACCCCGAGCAATGAGGCCCTAAAATCGGGTGACGGGAGAACAGACAAGGATTACCAAGTGGAAGATTAGCATCTATTTCATTTTTATTCTCCTTCCTTGCCTCAAAAGCAAATTTCTCTCCGTTTATCCCGAGGCTTCATACCTGTCTACAGGGGAAAACCTTGTAATATGGTAAAGCACCTGATTTTTTAGAATGACAGCTCCCCTTCCCCTCCCCCTAGCCCTTCCCTCTTTAAAGAAGCACTCTGGCATTTCCTATTGTCAGCTGTAATGACCTTGGAGGACTAAAAGGATTTGTGTGTACACTGAGCACTGACTTGGAGCATATCTATGAGGTTTGCAGAGCATTTTAATTGTAAAATGAAAACCCTAGAGGGCACAGGTAATATTTCTACAAAAAAAAAAAAAAAAAAAGGAGAAATCCATCAATTGCAATAAACAAGAATAACAGAGTAATCAAAAATTCTTGTTAGGGCTATTATTTAAAACCTCCAAAACAGGCTTTTTGATCTTGTGTTTATGAGAGAGAGAGAGAGAGAGAGAGAGAGAGAGAGAGAGAACACACCATTAGACTGCCGGCAATTCATTAAAATTTCACACGTGAAATGGCAACGAGCTAGTTGTCCTTTTCATAGGTCGAGTCCCTGAAGCCAGTAAGGACACAGGAAGGTAACTGCACTCTCGCTAAACTCCAGGGCAGGGCGTGCGGGCCCCTCCCAGCTTCTCCGGGAAACCATAGAGACCTGCAGAGGGGCTGTGTTCTTTTAAGATCAATTAAACTGGGCCAGTGGCAGACCTAGTGGTAGGTCATTTCTATGTCAACGAAACTTTGATATAGAAAGAAAAGGAAATCTTTAAGTTGCCAGACAGGTAAGAGCAGCTTGCCACAAGATATCATTATAGAAATGTGAAGTTTAAAAAAAAAAAAAATCATTCCTTTATGGGATTATTTTGAACGCAAATAGCATCTTTTACCCTAGTTCCTAAAAATATTGTAAGCAGCTTAAGACATTCTCTAATCCCTTCTAAAGAAATTTGCTAATAAGCTGGTCACCCAGGACTCTGCACCGTCTTTACAGTCCTGACTCCTAGATTGGCTGCTCCATTATTCTCCTGTGGTCAGGGTTTCCGTCAGGGTTTGCGTGTGCCCAAAAGGAGCAAGAGGGCTAACAAGAGACCTCTCCAGTGAAATGCTATCTTCTGAGCATCCACCGCGGTAATCAGGAGCCCAGGAAGGGGCCGGCACCTTCCGCACAGTGAATGCTAATTGTGTGCCAGCCAGTTTCCCGAAGCCCCAGTCAGACCCAAGGTTACGGATTTAGCTAGTTAGCAAACCAAGCCAGCTAGCCTGGCCGGTTGTAAACCTGGAGAAATCTGCTCAGGAGACTGCCGACTTTCCATGCCTTCTCAGCCTGTGATGACGTGATTTTTGCATGATGTCAGCAGATGGGGAGGTCTGCATCTGCTCCGTTGTTTAACGTTGTATTTTATTCAAGAGACGCTGCAGTTATGCCACCTTGTCAGGTCATTTCCCGGCTCTGTGACACCTGGAGTTCAGGGCCTCCCTTTTCTGTCGTAAGCCCCTACGTTATCTTTTTTTCAAATGGCAAGATTCAAAGAGTTATCTGGGAAGAGGGCCTGTGGCAGTGCTCTCAGTGGGAAAGCTATAGATCCACCCAACCCTCCGAGCATCACGCGCCCAGTCCTTGAACCTCTCCCCCCTGAGCCCCAGCCATACCCCCGTTCTATGTGGTCTTCTTGATGGGTTGGGGGGAGTGGGAGCCAAAATTCACTCTGAATCCAACTACCTAAATCAAACCCCATTTCTAGGATTGTTCAAGCACTTCCCATACATGTGATCAATAAACAACAGGAACTGGGGGGGAACTATCTTATTTCTGATAGCTGCCCACTCTATCTATCTGTCCTCACGCAGGGAGGCTGAACAAATTCCCAGTGCGCTAAAGCTGCCACCAGAGCCTCCAGATGCGAGGGAAGGCTGTCACTAGATTTCAGCCCACAAGATGTCACTAGCAGATAGTGGTGGACGTGCGTTGTTTTTCAGCCACTCAACACCCGTTCTCATAACAGCCCTCCACGGTGCCCTGCCTTCCCCAGGCAAGCGCCACACCACCGCTCCGTCTCCTTCTCTCTTGAGCCCCTGGGTCTGGATCAGAGAATGCAAGGAGGAGACGACATTCCCGGGGATTCACTCTCGTGCACCCTTTTATGAACCTATCGGTTTTCCCCCGTTGCCTGTGTCTCAGCAGCAGCCCCAGCTTCACATTTGAGACCAATTCCTCGGCTGTTGTTCTGCTTCTGAGTCATTCAGAGCCTTCGAATGCGTTATCCTTCTGTGTAAGCCCCCAGGGTACAACCCAAGGACCCTCACTGGCACAGTGGGGGGAAGGACACCAGGAGAGTGGGTGGCTTTGTCCTTCCTTCTTTATAAAAACAAGGTGTGGCCTTTCCTTAAGTCTCTATGCACCTGTCCTGAACCATCTGCCTTGATGGCAATGGCAGAAATGCCTCAGGCCTGGTGCCGTAAATACACACACAATTACAGGCCACATTGGGAGAATCCTTGTTCTCTTCCACCCAAGGGAGAAACTGACGGCCAGGCTTGCTTTCTGAAGTGGCCCATTTAGCCTCAAGGGCCTGGAGGGGGTAAAGGCTGGGGACGGAGGGACAGCCCATAGCAGTAACAGGACAGTATGACAGTCCTGTTCTCAACCTCTGAGTGACTTTGCACAGTGCAGTCCCATTGCTGCCGACTTATTTCCTCCCTTCACTTACTTCCATTGTCTGCCTGGACCCGCTTTGCTGTTGGGGCATCACAGCATTTTACCTTTCCTGCTCCTCTGTGCTCCTGCCTCATTCTACAGAAAAAGCACATGCACGCGCGCGCGCGCACACACACACACACACACACACACACACACACACACCCTCTTTTCTGCTATGCTCCATCTCTCTCACTGCCCCACAGCTGGAGGACAGCAGGGCAACCAATCTTTTAAATTACAAACACACCACGAAGGGAAGAAATCTCTTCCCCAGGGAAGGGCGCATGCTACTGACAATGCTTGCTCGGACCATAATGCAGAAATGCCAGCGCCAGTAATCGATGAGGTAACTCCGTGGCTGCTCCCACAAGTTCAGAACCAAAAGGACATTGGAACGCTCCTATCACTGTGGTTTTAGTGGAAGGCACTCCACTTTCAAAATCCCAGTTCCCTCGTTGACTCAAACCAGCCATGCCCTCATGATGAAGAGGCGTTAGAGCTGTGCCTGGGACACCCTGAAGTCCCTTCCTTGCTGACAGGCCCATCCAGCTGGCTCAGACACAAACCGAGTGCAGGCTGCACCCACAGTGGGAGGGGGATGAACTTGGGAGTCAAGCTCCTCTGCTTGGATTCCAGCTCTCCCAGGGATAGAGTCACCTCGGCGTGTCTTTCAATCTGTCAAAAGCACAAGGGCTACCTGAGGCTTACACGCCAGCCTAGGACTGAAACAACAAGCCTGGGGGCTGGCTGCATGTGTGATGCAGTTAATCCGTGAGATGGCCCTTCACTCACAGCTGGACAAGGGACTACTCCACCAGCCTGGAATTTATAATATCAGCGTTGGTTGTCTACATTCAAGAACTTTCGCTTTCAGAAAAATCCCGTTAAAATGCCGGGTGAGCTCTGGCAGATAGGAGAGCTCTGCAGAGCTCCCTTCCCCCACCACAGCCACTTAGGGATTCCATGGTAACAGGAGGCGGGAGTCTCCGCTGCTCTTCTTCCCTCTCCCCTCCCTCCAGTCCACAGGGGACCTTCAGTTACTTCCTAGAGACAGATGACACCCCAATTTCTCCCTCTAGTTCAGGTAGCTCCTCTAAGCTCCGGACCCTCGGACCTGACTTATTACTTGGTATGTTGACCTGGCATCTTCCACAGGCACCGGCAGTCCCCTACTCCTCTCCCCAGTCTACAGCCTGTTCTTTCTCTGTCTCAGTTCACGTTCTGCCCTCCACCAAACTCAGCAAGCCAGAGACTTGGCGTGCTCTTACATAGCCACTCTTCGCCAGGCTGTGTGATTTCACCTCCCAAATGCCTCTCTCTTTCCAATGAAATCTCCCCCCTGGACAACCACCTGGTTCCTGGCCCTCCTCCCACCCTCTCTAGTCCATTCTCTGGATCAATGGATCTTCAAAAGGCTAATCTTACCCTATGATGTGCAGCTTAATATCCTTGAATGGCTTCTTGCTGATTCCAAGATAATGATCAACATCCTGAACAAGAGCTGCCCCGATCTGCACAGGACAGGCCTGCCTACCCCTCCCACCTAGCTCAGGCCAGTGCTCACACCTTAGTTTTCCACACTGGCCTTCCTGCCCCGCCCCTCAGGGACACTGTAACCGTGGCTGCCTCCACCTTCACCTCAACTCACTTCCTTGCACCTCCTTGCACCTGGCTTACTGCTCTGTCGCTCTTGGATCTGATTCCCTGTGTTGCTTATTGGGGGACATCTTCACAAATGTCAGGGCCTAAGGTGATAATTTTTAGCACCCTACTTACACTTTCCCTTTTGGCATGGACTACCAACATGTTTACTGATTCTGGCTGGAATCTCCTCCCCCTTCAAACTGTAAGCTCGTGAAGGCAGAGACCTCCAGCACTGCATTATGTTTACTTGACATACATTTATAAAAGCCCACCACGTGCCAGAAATCAGTCATACGTCCGTTTCCCCAAAATATGGAACTTAAGGGCATTACATAGGATCTCACCCTACAGAGCACAGACAACAGTAAATTTCTAAGTGGACTGGCAAGATAATGGAACAAACAGCTAAAATGATGCCACATGCAAAGCCCAAGAGCAGAGGGGAAGTGCGCAAGAGACGAGGCGGGTCAGGTAAGCAGGGCAGCGGGCAGACCCAGAGGACAGGCTGCCGGAAGGTGGCAAACTGAAAGGTTAGAGCTTGGCAAGCGACAGGAAAGAACAGAAAACACAAGTCAGTTGCCCTCTCCACAGTATTTCCGAGGCCAGCCCTCCTCCCTGTACCAAAAGCTTTCTGAAATCCCAGCCGCCCAGCAGAGATCTGACCCAAGAGCATCCCAGAAATAGAACCAAATTTAGTGTAGCCGCTCCCTGCGCTGCCAAGCATCCTCCTACTCTCCTGTTCCTGCCAAAGCACAAGGAAGCATCCACCAGCACAGGTGCTGAATTATTCAATTATTCTAGCAGCTTTCAAAATGCGTGTGCAGCTCGGAAATCTCCCCAAAACGAAAAGAATCGTGTAATTTAGGCTACTGGGTCATTTCTTGAACTGCTCTTGAATCCTGCTTTACTTTTCCATTGAACAGGAGCTCACTGACACCCCACCCTCCCTAGCAGAAAGCATATCATCGCAAGACGATCTGCCGCTGACTTTGCAGTGACCAACAGGCAGGTCCCACGCTGAGTCACCACACGGAGGTCTGGCGCAGCACCAAACACACATGGCCCACAGCAGCAAAAATCCAACTACCCGCTGTCCCCATGCACACCCGCCTGCCTGATTGCAATTAAAAAAATGATAAACTTCTACCTTTGAACTTCCAACACAATGCTAAAATCATAGCATTTGTCTGCAGTGATCTGTCTGCAGTTAGAGCTGAAAACCCCACTTCAACGCCTCACCCACAGCCCACCCACCCATGTGCGTCAGCTGCCCAAGATATTTTCTCCCAGCAGAACAGACCGAAGAGACTGTTTTGAGGAAAAAGAAACACGAGTCACGAAACAAGCCTTTAAGACTCCACTTCAGCGCCAAGCTTTCAGGAAGGAGCCTTCTATTTCTGGCTCTGAAGAGGCAAAGCATGAAAATGAAGTGGGGGAAAGGACAAAGGAAAAAAGCAAATATTGACCAGCGGTGACTTTAACCTCAAATCAATTCTAGAACTCGCAGAGGCGAGAAGGACAGTTTTCATTAGTGAAAGCAATCTGGGCCACGGAGTCTCAGGCGCTGCCCTCTGACCCTAGACACGGCTTCCAGTGGGTGAATGAGAGTCACAGACAGAGAGGCATCTCATTGGAAACAGATGAAGGCAACCTTGCACACAGTCACTTGGCTGCCCTAAGAACGCTCATCAGCCAGGTGACAGGGCGGGAGGGGGACTCTGCTGGGAACGAGAACACAGCTGCCAATCACACAGGCTGTTGTAAGATAGGACCAAGTTCCCCCGGCATAGCTCTCTCCCGGGTGCCCCGGGTGCCAGCTGCCGTGGGAAGAGCAGCACACACTGCGCCCGGCTCTTCCTCTCCGCTCCTCACCGTTTCTCCACCTGTTCAGCTCCACCTCCAGATGCTGGATAACATTCTTCAAAGTCTTGTTTTTCTCTTTCTCCTTCTCGTATTTCTTCTTCCATTCTTCAGCGGTCAGCTCCAGGTTCACAGAGACTGTGTTCTTGATGGTCTTAGCCCTGGGGTGAGAAACGAAAGGGAAGGACTAAGCACGGCCATCAGCATCAGCCTAATAATGTTCCTTTCAGGGCAAGAGACTGGGACCGGGAACAGGAGGACCCTGCGGCTCTCACCTACCGCCCTCTTACCTGGCTGTGTTAATGGCACTGCTGACTCCTCAGGCTCCAAATGCACCTTTTCCTTTTCCTCATTACCTCCTGTCAACCTCCAAATCCAGTGGATTTTCATTCCAATTGTCTCTCAGAGTCACCTTTCTCTATTCCCTGTGTTCTCAGCCCTGACTTAAAGGTAAAGCCTTTTTCAAAGAGTCAATATTCTCCTTTAAACACCTTCATACCACCTCTAGATTCCTCTTCCTAAGTAGAGCTTCCTTTCAAATCAGTTAACATGTATGAAACATGGCATGTACCAAAACAAATGAGACAAGGCCTCATGCCTCTTAGAGCTCCACTTTTTCTTCGAGTAATATACAGACCGAAATAACACAAATTCTTTCTCTTCCTCACACTACCTGAGGTCACCCTGATGTGCTGAACACATGTCTACACACTCCACCGGGGCCAGTCAGGTCATTAACAGAGCACAGCTGGCCAGGTGAAGCCACGGCTCCCTGCAGGGCACATGCCCCCATCACAGCCAATTGTTGCCACAGAGGAAGGAGGGCCACTATTCACAGGTCATCCCATTTTTCAAAGTCAGAAATCAATATTTTTATTTGTGTCTCTCAGTTTGTAACAATTTTTCAAAATAATGTGTGAGACAAACATGTCTAAAAGCCACCAATTTTCCATTCCTTATATAAACACCTCCTAAGACATATGGCTGGGGTCAGGATGGGAGCAATAACTAAAGGGAGCAACTGGTGAGAGCAAAGGCAATGGCAGCACTAGCCTACATTAAAAATAAATAAATAAACAAACATGACAACTAGCTACATGTAGAAATGAACACATAAAGCCAGCTGGTGTGGCTCAGTGGTTAAGTGTTGACTCATGAACCAGGAAGTCGTGGTTGGCATCCCAGTCAAGGCACATGCCCAGGTTGCTGGCTTGATCCCCAGTAAGGGGTGTGCAGGACGCAGCTGATCGATGAGTCTCTCTCATCATTGATGTTTCTCTTTCTCTCCCTCTCCCTTCCTCTCTGGAATTAATCCTATATAATAATCCTATATAATAAAAGGATAATATGCAAATTGACCAAAAGGCCGAACAGCGAACAACCATCTAGGACCACACTATGACACCCACTGGCACAGGTCAGCCAAGGCAGGTGTGATGCAATTGGTCATGGGCCCAGCCATCGCCCCAACTGGCGGGCTGTAGTGGGTGGGCGGGGCCTCCCTCTGCCAGGAAAGCCAGTGCAAACAGCCAGAGGAAAGGCCTACTCTTGCACGAATTCCATGCATCAGGCCTCTAGTAAAAAAAATAAATAAAAAGTACATGAACATATAAGCAGACATATCTAGTCAAAAAATATATTGTCCATGCAGAATCCCACTTGTTACTCACTTTTTAAGAAAGTAAAAACTTCATTTAAAAGTATGTGATATCCTGTTTTATTTGCTATTGCCTTTTTTATTTTAAACTCCCACCAGTTCTTATACTGTCATACTTGCTGGCACGAGCTGATGTGATTCAGGTTAATTACTGTTGTCATCAAATGACATTTCGGACAGGATTTCTATTTCCGTGAAGGAAATTCAGCGGTGCTCACCAGCACTACCGATGTCATTCCAAAGATGAATTCCTACGGCAGATAACTAAATACCCAACTGTCAAAAGAGGAGTTAAGCAATTTCAATAAAAGACTCCACTTAAGAATTAGTATCATTCTCTCTTGCATTCACTGAGCTTGAGGCTGTGTTCCCCAGTCATGATTCAACTGATCTTTCCAACGGCAGCAGTTGTATGGCTCCATTAAAGTCTGTGCCCGGCCGCACTCCCACCCGCCCTCTCACAGCCCCAGGGGCGCCGTGGATGCTCCTCAGACAGGAGCACACACACCGCAGCATCCATCACCCATTATCCACTTAGTGAGTCAGAGGCAAAAAGCAACCGGTGGCTGAAAATGCTTGCGGACATTGCAGGGTGCGCTGTGAGGCTACTAATCTTACTTTTTAAACCGCAAAGGTTCTCTTGAGGATTCCTAATGAGACTAGAGCGAGAGGAGGAGAGCCTCTCAGCCACACTCAGGCAGGGCCAGCCAGAGGGGGTGCCTGTGAGCAGACCCAGCAGGGCTATCCCTGGTGTCACTGGTCTTCTTTAAGTTATTTTTCTTCCACTCCTGTAGTAGTCACGGTCCTGGTAAGAATCTGACGGCCCACCGATACTGCATGATTTGGGACAAGTTTACCAAAAATATGGGGAGAGTGTTGGGAAATAATGAGAGAGGACGCATACCCCACATTAATTATGGGGAGCCTTTACCACCCTTGGGTTGAGGGGACCCAACGGGAGAGAGATAAGAGGAGCAGGCTGCTCACAGAGAACAGTGACAGTCTTTAATCTGGGGACACAGCCACCCAAAGTGACCCTGCCTGGACAGAGGCAGGAAATGAAGGCCCTTCATGCGTCAATGGGTCAGTCCCACTGTGACGTCTGATTAATCCAACGTGACCTGAGCATCACAAAGGAGCACAACAGTTTCCTAGGTATTCATTTCCAAAGCCCTCGGGTTTTCAACCAGAGGCTCCAAGATGCACAAATAAATGCCTGCTCCACAGTTATAACCACGGCAGACACTGAGTCAGCGCCTAACCAAAGGCCACTCAGGAAAAGAACCTTCACTAGTCTCAGGCTTACAACCTAACAGCAGGACTAAGCACAAATGAGCCAATTCTTGAAAGTATAATGATCAGAGATCTGTTTTGTCGTTTTCTTTGTTTCAACATGCTTCAGAAACATCATTTAAGTAATAGATAATCTAGGTTTGCCCCAAATATCTTCTCCCGGTAGGGAGAGAACTGGGACTCCACTTTTAAAAGACCTCAAAGCTAATGAATGTTAACCACCTTTGGAGAAGGAGGGCCAAGCACAGCAGGCAGGGCGAAGATCACAAGACATCTTCCACTCAGACCCCCGTAAGGAGACGGTGAAGCCAGAAAAGGTCTCTGTGGACGTGATCACTAAGGAACTAAGGAACAGGAAGAGGGAGACCTTGCCGCCCTGCCCCTGAGCAGCACTGTTATTTCCGCGCCAGCACTTCTGGGTCCCTCTCTCACTGAATTTGTGGTTCACATGTTCGGAAGCACATGGCCAGGCTTCCAAGACTGCTGATCGTGTCCACTTCCACCAGCGAGGTTAAGTCCCCGTACATGACGACCCTCCAAAGGCATTCTCACAGGTGGGCACGTGAATCAACCCTGGAGGAAGGGAAGTCCTAGAACCACTTGGTTCACATTCCTCTGCATCCTGATTTATCCTATCTCCACCTAATTCCCCAAAAATTGCCCATACTTTCTGGCCATAGTCAGTCCTAAATAATATACTGACTATGTATCATTGTTTAGCTTCTTCTAAACATCTTGTCCTGTGTGGAGGAGCCAGGAAGACGTTGGTTCTTGGCACTTTCCTGTCCTTGTTCTCAGCATTCTCCTTCCTTCTCCAGATGTTCAGGACAGTGCTGTTATTTGAACAAGGAGCTCCAGACAAGCCCACACCGGCAATGCACAGGGTACATCTGTAATGTGTGATTCTCCACTGCAAATGGTGTGCCCGTATGTATGAGAGAGACTGAGATCCTCCCCCTGGGGGGTGGAGAGGGTGGTGAAGCAGCCTTCTCTATCCGTCAGGGTTTTCAAGAGAAACAGAACCAACAGGACAGATTTGGAGAGAGATGATGGATGGGTGGGTAGATAGGTAGATAGATATCATATATATGTCATATACTCTGTGATATATAAGCAATAGCTTCCATTTCTTACACTTGTTTACTTATCTAAAGAACTGGGCTCACATGATTGTGGGACTGGCAAGTCTGAGAGCCACAGGCCAGGCCAGCAGGCTAGACATGCAGGCAGAAATGGATGCTGCAGTCTCAGGGCAGAACTTCTCTAAGAAACTCCCAATTTTGTCCTTAAGCCCTTCGACTGATTGGTTGGTAATGGAGGGTAATGTGCTTTACATTTTTTTTTTTGGATTTTTTTTTTTTTTTTTAATTGAGGTCAGATAGTTTTACAGCATTATTTAAGTCTCAGGCATGCAACATTATGATTTGACACCTGTACACACTGTACTATGCTCACCACACCAAATGCCTCCACCGGTTACCACACAGCTGACTCCTTTACCATTTCACCCTCCCTCCAGCCCCCTTACTGATAACCACCCATCTTTAATTTGCCTGTTTGTTTTTTGTTATTTTTTGTTGTTTGTTTGTTTTGTTTTTGTTTTATATTCCACAATATAAGTGAAATCACATGACTTTTTAAAAATAATCAGCTACTATAGCCTAGCCAGGTTAACATATAAAACTGTCACACCTTTCAGTTTGCTCTGAGTCCTAGTTCCCAGATAAATCTAACCTTCCTCTGGAAATGTGATTGCTACAAGTTGCCTTCCCATTTCCTGGTAAGGCCATTTCCCTTCTTGTAAGTGGGGGACATAGGGAAGGAGAAATTAAAAGCTTTTACTTTTATCTTCTGAAAAGCTCTAGTCTTCAAGAAACATTAATAAATTACCCACATGGCTGAAACTGATTTGGTCGGTGAATAAAGCGTTGGCCTGCAGTCTGAAGGGTCCCTGGTTCGATTCCGGTCAAGGGCATGTACCTTGATTATGGACACATTCCCAGTAGGGTTTGTGCAGGAGGCAGCTGATCAATGTTTCTCCCTCATCGATGTTTCTAAATCTCTATCCCTCTCCCTTCCTCTCTGTAAAAAACAAAACAAAACTATATATATTTTTAAAAATGACCAACCTGGGAATCTGGTCTCTGCTCAAACTTGTCATCCACAGTATCTGTCCCTTCAAGAGCTGTAATTAACCCTAATGGTGCTTCGGCATCAGGGCCCCCAACAGGGGGTGATTTAGGTCTTTTTTCATTTTATGTGAAAAGTGTATTCAAGTGTCTGCATTGGCCAATGTGCTCACGCCAGCCCTGCAGGGAACCTGCGGTCCCTCTCTGGTGACATGAATTTTGCATGCACTCCACCCGGGCTTTCGCTCTGCCTGATCCAGCTGCCACTAAACTGAGCATGCAATTAACAACAAAGAACACATCAGGAAAAGAAAAAAGAACATTGCTTTCTCTAAGTTATCAATTCTTCCACAGTCCACATACAAATAAACCTTTAAATTATTCATACTGGATCAATCAGAACTCTTGGTGCAAAAGATGTGCTAATTCTCTAAACGGATTGACCTGTCGCTTCAGGGTTCCCTTTTCCCTCATTCCCACCCCAAATCAAGGTCCATTAAATAGGCTTCCCAGATAATTGGGTGATTTCAGCTCATCTTTTTTTTTTTTTTTTTTAATTCTTTATTGTTTAAAGGACTACATAAGTCTCCTTTTTCCCCTCTCCTTTTCGAATAGTGCTATAAAAGTACGTGGGAAGAGAGTAATTGAAGACTGGAAAATAAAAGGCTGGGAGCCAGAAGAATGAAAGATCAATGGGAGTGCTCTGATTTGAGTGCCCTATCCCTCGAGCAGGAATGCTCAGCTTTCCCGCAGAGCCCAGCTTTTTGACGCTCTGCTGTCTGGAAATTCAGTTGCCTCCTCCACTAAATTCAAAGCTCTTCGAGAACACAAAGAAGAGCTTCAACTGCTCACCTTGCACAATGCTGGGCATTCCGGGACTGAAGGGGACAGGCCTGGCCATATAGGAGCCAGGCTCCCTCACTGGAAGCAGGAAACCGACATAGGGAATTTTTCCCTTTAAATTCCAGGACCTAATCTGGAATCCTGGAGAGTGCTGACTTGATAGGCTGCCCTCGGGCCCCTGTGGACCGTCCCATGTTCCTACTGCTTCAAAGGATATCCTCCTGCTTTATTTGGAGAGTCAATACAGTATAGCCTAGCAACAAGCACGGACTTTCTTCCTGTCCTTGAAAGACTGCGTAGGAGTAACTGTGGTGCCTCATGCTGCCCTAAGGTTGGGCCATCCCTGCAACAAGAATATAATGAACACTCGTTACACTGAATTTGAGATGTGCCCGGCAGTCTTGTCTGAGTTCAAAGTGCTTAATCTCATTAGCTATCAGATGCCATGTCTAATCCGATGTTCAGACTGGTGTCTGCTGTGTAATTGGGTTCAATGCATATATTTAACAATAAAGCAGGTAGTGGCCCCACAGAGAAGTTAGATGTCCTTGAAGAATCCATTAAGCACCTCGGAGATAGAGGGCATGGAACAAAACCTCATACATTTCTAATTATAGGCTGGAAAACAAACCAGATCTAATCACAGCCAAACTTTAGGACACAATGGTGTCACAGTTCAGCAAGTGCCCTTATGTTCTATGAATCCTACACAATCCTCATTAGATTCATCTGTTCATTCATTTGGTAAACACCTAGTCACTGACCACCCAGTGTGTGCTACTGGTGCTAGGCTCTTGTTGGGACAATTGAGGTCAACCATAAACCTAGTCCCTGCCCTCATGGAGCTCAGTACCCAGGTGACCCTGACAAAAGACTAGAGGCCAACCGATTTCATTTGAAAATATAATTGGCATGCCTGAAATTCCAAATTATCAGCAGTACTTACTTAATCATTCCTTCTGGAAACTTAACTCTAAGTCCACATCATTTGGTCCTGTCTGTCATATTACAGTCCTATCCTGTACATTACCATGCCTTTCCCAAGCCTCAGCACATCCAATTGTCGCAGATGGTTTAAGACGGAGGGAAAGGGGAACTTGAGATCACTGAGTGCCGATTACTTGCCCTGTGCTAAATAAAACCGGAAGCAACTCATCTAATCCTCCCAACAATTCTCAGAACTGGGTGTTATTACAGTTCTTCCTATAGACGAGGCTGACAAAGGAGAGAGAGAGAGAGAGAGAGAGAGAGAGAGAGAGAGAGAGAGAGCGAGCGCACTGACTTGGTAGGCTGCCCTTGGGTCCCTGTGGACCATAGCAGAACTTAGTTTCAAACCTGGAGTCACTGATCTCAGGGGCCCATGCTCATCAAGGTTCCTGACCAGCACCCTGGATGTAAGAAGCTGCAAGTCAAATAATACAGTCTCCACCCTATGATATGATATCCTCCATGTTTAGTCATTTACAGCTGTGTGGTCTCAGGCAGCATACCTAATGGCTCTGAACCTCAGCCTCAATTTCCTTATAGTAAAATTTCTAGGAGGATGTTGACATGCCTGGCACATACTAGGCACTAATAAAAAGTGCCGGTGATGATGACTATGATAATGACTATCTCACTAAGACCAGAAGAAAGAAACTAACCATTTGGACTTGTTCCTTAACTTTTCCTACAGACAGTTGCAAGTGCCCACTGACAGCAGCAACCTGGAGGGAGACAGCCCAAGGCCCTAGCATGACTCTGGCTTCAAAGGCTCAGTGATGTTTGCTTTGCAGGTAAGACTTTTTGTGGAGATGTTTCCTTTCCAAACACAGTTGGTGCTGGTTTGTTCACACGTGTCTTCAGAGGAAACTGTTAAAGCTTCAGTTTAAGAAGCTGGGGGAGCAGGGCAGGCAGGGTGATCGGCATAAATTCTAGGTTGCCCATAGCAAACACTCATTTATAGAAGAAGGTGCTATTCTTCTGCCACCCAGTGCGATAAGCATTTGGCTAATCAAGGAAGTGATCTGAGAGGAAGTAAAGGACCCCAAACCCAGTTTAAAAGATATATTAGTTCTACAACATTTCAGTGTAATTATTATTTATTTAGACATCCCACAGGTGCCATGACTGTGTAATTCTATGTTCTGTAGAGGACTCAGGAAATGACTGGGGTTTAATGCAGTTTAAACAAGCCACAATTTCCCATACAGAATGCCCACCCCCATCTGTCCTTTCTCTATTTCTTGAGTATAACTAAACAAAGTGCTCCCGGGAGGAAGGTAGAGGGGGTGCTCTGTACATCCATCTAAAAATGGAGCAGCTAAAGCCCACGGGGAGCTGATCACGAGTCTCAAGATCACACAAGTGTTTTGAATTAAAGGGAATGCCAACAGGGGAATTCACATCTCCCAACCGGAGGTCCCAACTCAACCCACTGAGCCCTAAAGATGCTTAGATCACCCAAATCCACAGCATCCAAGCATTCTGGGAACTAGCACCTGAGAGCACTGGCTGGCAGCCTGGGACTCACACCTAAAACAGAGGGACCATGACTGCAGGTTAGGCCTAGGGACGGGCAAGAAAGGAAAGGATGGTATGAACCAATCCACACACCTGAATGCTGTTTCAGGGTGACTGAGGTGTCTCTGCTGCCTGCCTATTAGCATTGTCCAGACATCTAGGAAATCTCACATGGGCATTTTGAATGCGAGAAGGTGGCTGCTGCTTTGCCCTTTCCTCAACATATATTCTGCACCTCCTACCCCAGGGTTAGTACGAGGCTTCCTTCCTCCCATTTTAACACTTATGCAACTACACTACATTCATTTAAGTTTCTGGTGTGCAATCAGCACCTCTGCAATGAATTCCAAATATTGGAGTTAAAGATAGTTACCATTCATGAGTTTTATACCTTTGAAAACCTGTGAACCTGAGAGGCAGATTTTTTTCTTTTTACTATTGATTTTAGAGAGAGAGGAAGGAGTGGGGGAGAGACAGAAAGAGAGAGAGGGAGAGATGGATTTTTGTTGTTCCACTTATTTATGCATTCTTATATGTGCTCTTACTGAAGATCAAACCACGACAACCTTGGCATATCAGGATGATGCTCTAACAAACTGAACTACCTGGCCAGAGCCTGGGATTCAGGCTTAATTCCAAGAAGAACAAAAGCAACACTCCACTGAATTACCAAACATCGCATCTATCATAAGTCTGTGTGTTGTTTTTAACACCATACATTTGATTGGCATATTCCTGCCCATTATTTTAAAACATGATTATCCCTTTGGCTTCAATAAGTGATGCCTCCAGTTTACAGATCACCTGTTAGATGCAATTTAGTAACAAGCCACTTGTCCCCTTCTCTCTATTTCCTCTCCAACACTAGCCCCTTGCCACTCCTATGACCCAGGTCCCAGCAGACCACACCCACCTTTGTCCAAACATCAACGTAGATTTGGTCTCGGCTTCATTGAAGACAGAAGGAGAACAGCAAATCACAATAGTAGTTCTACAGTTCCCACCCAGGGAGTCCTGAAGAATCCGCGTCATCTTGCTGTCCCGGTAGGGCACGTGTGTTTTCTATTTAGGAAAAGAAAAAAGGATTGGTTGTGACAGCCCATTCAAAGAAAAAACACAGAGGCAAGCAAGTTAGTTTTGAGGACACTGGGCTTAGAAACACGTGTGAAATAAGAACTTGTTGCCTGGTCTTTGGATCTTGCCAAAGTTTAGCATGCCCATTCTGGGACCCGGGTCACAGGAAATCAGCATTTCCATTCACACGTTTTAATGGACCAGATCCCCCAGCAAGCAAGGTGTCCACAACCAAGATTCCCTCTGTCCCTTCCAAACCAAAACAAGCAAATTTCTAGAGTGTGTGGCAAAGAGCACACAGACCCAAAAAGGCGACTTCTCATTATATCATTTAATAGATGGGGCCACGATCACTTACTGTCCCTTCTGCCAAGGCAGAGATCACGTTTCCAAGAGCAGACAAAGACTTATTGATATTTTTAGCTTCGTCGAGAACAGCTCCCTCGGCACCAGTTTTGCTGACCTATGAGAGAGAGAGCAGTGAGCTGCACAGGACAGGAAAGCACAGTAGAAAATTCCAATTCACCGGAGGGCAAAGGAGCAGGCAGGGGCGGTGAATCCTCCCGGCTCCTGAAATACAAGGCGAAGGAAAAGTAAGTAAGGTTCACATTGATAAAACCTTCCCTGGTGCCAGAGGCTGGGGATTTGCTCTCTCGCTTGTCATTTTCCTCTCGATTAGCTTTAGGGGAATGGCTGGAAAGCCTCCAGTGTTGGAGCTGCGGATGCTTCCCCGGGGACATCATCCAGGAAAAGCAGGCTCTGAAGTGCTGTCACCGGGAGAAGGCCGGGCGCTGGGACACTGAGCCGCAGCCTGCACTCCGGGGCGGGGGGAGGAGGGGGCTGGAGGAGCAACCGCCGTCTGGGCCACAGTGAACGGACATGTCAGGAATGTGTAACCATGAGCTCCAACTCCAGGCAAAGGACAAGGGCTGGGGATGGTTGTCCAGTCTCTCTGTTCCTTCCTCACTGAACCATAGGAAGGAAGAAAGGTACAATTATAAAAAATAAAAATAAATAAATAAATAAATAAATAAAAAACTGCCCTGGCCAGTGTAGCTCAGTTAATTGGAAAGTCCTCCCATACACCAAAAGGTGGCAGGTTCGATTCCCGGTCAGGACACATACCCAGGTTGTGGGTTCCGTCCCTGGTCAGGATGTGTGCAAGAGGCAACCGACCAATGTGTCTCTCTCACATTGTGTTTCTCTCTCTCCCTTTCACTCTCTCTCCCCCTTCCTCTCTCTCTCTCTCTCAAAAAAAAAAAATCAATAAAATTTTAAAATAAGGAAAAACACTATTTTTTTTCTAGTCATTAACACAACTTTAATTAAAATTAATAGTTTAGATGAAGAGCATCAAAAGAGTTTAAAATCAACTCTGAAAAATCACCTTTACATACAGGAATTAAAACAGGCCAGCGGAAGTCCAAAACATGATCTCTGCAGCTTGTGTTATTGCACTTGGATGGAACGCACTGGCCGGGGCAGCGCGATGCTTGGGCCACGGGAGACCAGGAAGAGGGACAAGCACAGAGGACAAACCCGCAGGCAGCATGCACCCCGCCTTCCAACTCTCTGGTGGACTTGAAAATAGCATCTTAGAAACACTCAACTAGAGCTCTTTACAAAAATGGCTACTGTGTCATCAACATGTTTAGTTTAGGTTTGAAAAGTCAAGAAAATGTATATTACATCTAGGAGCTGTCTTTTCCCCTCTGCAGCCAGAGGGAGCACACACAGTTCCTCCTCTGCTGTGTTATTGCTGCTGATCTAGTATTTATAGTAGTTGCTGTCGGGAGAGAGCAGTTCACAGATGCTAGAAAAAAGGGGAACTCAACATGATTCATAGCTCTGCTGACTGGATGGACGATGCCGGGTCAGCAGCTGCTGTCTACAGAGAGAAAAGTGGGGAAATAATTTTTAACTGCACAAAGACGGGTTTCAATTATGTATAAAGGAGAAACTCCTACCAACAGAGATGAATGCATGTCCAGGGGTAGATTTTTTTCAAATAGGATAGATTCTCATCTCTCTGGGAATTGTGTGTGTGGGCACACAGAGAACTATCGATAATACAGCTGGTGGGCCACAAACAATACAGTCCATTCACATGGCATTGCTTAAGATGCTTTCATATTGGAGCATCTTAACTCCATGAAATAGGCAGGACAGGTACAACTCCCTCCTCTTCCAGACAAGGGAGATTTATGTTCCAGGGATGTGCAATCACCAGCCTAAGGGAAGAAGAGCACTTAGAGGATCAGGGAGTAGAGCTCGGAGTTCTGCTCTACTAGATCACACTGACACATCCGTGTGGACGCATCTAGGGCGAAGGAAAATGGGTGCGAGCAGGAGAAATGGCGTGGGACCACGCCTCTCCAATGTCTCGTAAATATCATCAGAGGACAGCACGTGGGCCCTAAGTACTCAGCCCTCTGCTCCAAAGGGGAAGAGGACCAGCTTGGGAAGAGTGAAGGGGGACTGGACTCCTTGTGGGGACCCGTACAGTTAATGTGGCAACAAAGTGGATCCTGGTGGCCAATGGTTAGTTTGGAACTAAGCAATGCTGCTCTGCATTCCGGTTCTGGTGGGTTTGTTTAAAGTTACAAACACATGCCAATAAGATTTTAGATTTCTAACCAAGAAAATCCAGGTGATTTTCTGCTCACGGCTTTACATGGGCATACCTGAGAACAATTCAAGTAGCCATCACTTACAGAGATATTAGTGGCCATAATGTGGCATCCGGCCCTCGGTAGTGGGGTGCAGTTAAGTGGGGATGGATGACACAGTCCAGGAGACTGACTGAGCTCTGGGCCAGCCCTGATTGGGGACAGTGAGCACAATGGCAGTGATGAGAAACAGGCCAGGTGGTGTCCCCCAAGTAGGGCAAAGTCCCCAAGCCAGGGTGTGGCAGCAGGAGTGTCTGGAGCTGCCATGGAAGTGAGGCTAGTGGGGGCAGGTAGAAGGTTCTGGAAGCTTATTCGGTCTGGAGTATGGCCTCAGTCAGGGCCTGGGAGAGCGTGGGACAGGATACAGATGCCTAACCAGAGCCCTGACAAAACCAGAGAAGGGATGGGGCTCATAGTCCATAGCCTGAAGAAGTGAGGCTGCCCGTGTGAGGCACCGTCTCCACCGACTGCAGAGAGAAGCAGGGCAGCGGGGAGAGCCCCAGGCTCCTGATCTTCCATCAGCAGCACACCTGCCGAGGCAGGACTGCCACGTTCCAACGCAATGCCCTCCCCTGGCCTATTTGCGTCTGGAACAACATGGATTGCTTCCCTTTTCTCAGAAGGGCTTGGCAAAGACAGATTTGAGAATGCTCACTGCCAAGCTAAGTTCACCCCTACACTTGCCTCGTGTCATCTTCAGAGGCCATTAGGCATAAATCAGAGTTGGCATTCAAAGCTCCCCACGACGTAAACGGGGACTTCAGGGCCGGGAAAGAGGAGCAGGGAAGCAAAGGTTAAATTTAATAACATCTTGGCACAACATCAGAAACTTTAAAAGCTCTTTAAAACCAGGAAATAGAAAGGCATAAAAATTATACCATTGCACAGTGAAGCAAATAACAGGGGGAGATTATAGCTGATACAAATAAAGAACCAATTACCTTTTCGCTCCCGGCCAAATCAACCAGATAAAGCTTCCCACTGAGTTTTTTCTCGGTCTCTACATTCTCTTGTTTAATATTAATCAGGAAGATACTGTGACTTCTAGAGCTGTGTTCATTCATGTCTAAAAAGGAAAATAGTTACTGCTCTACAAAGAACACACTTAGGTAGCCAGCCTCTCATCTGAAAAGCACAACAAATTCATCTAATAGCTCCATTTCTTAAAGTCAAGACAATTTTAAAAATGATCTGAGACCACTATTTCTTCTTAAAAGCAATGCTCATTCCAGAAATGAAAGATGTTAAATACCTTTAAGTGGCTAAGAAATTAATCTAAAACTTAGCCGATGTTTTAAGGTAACAGATTGTCTGCTCCTGCCGAGAGACCCACCTCCAGCACTAGCTGACCCGCTCGCTCCTGGAGGAGCTCACCGCCTCCTTCCCTGCCTCACTGAACTCCTCAGCCTTCATCATCATGATCGGTCCCTGATGAACACCATCTTCCTCACGCGAGTAGTGTTGCCTTATCAGTAGTGTCATAAACTCTCTTTAGGAAGTACCATGGATTAAAACATACACCTCTTCTATAACCCATGCTAGGTGCAAAGATTAAATATGCTGCATTAGGACTGAGTACTGGAAATAAAAATCTTTTTGTTCCCTGGTCTCTGTTCACCAGGCAGGCAGAGACCCCAGTGACTGTCTTATTCAACTCCTACTCACAATCATTTCTTAAAACCACCTCACCACATTATATGGGAAAAAATCCCTGAAGATTCCACACACAAAGAAATGTTAGCATAAATTCAACAAACTAGCAGGATACAAAAGCAACGCATGAAAGTAAGTTGCATTTCTACATACTAACAATGAACATCCCAAAAAACGGCATTAAGAAAATAATTCTATTTAAAATAGCAGTAAAAAAAAAAAAAAAAGAAGAAGATACTTAGAAATAAATAACCCAGGAAGCAAAAGACTTGTACACTGAAAAATACAAAATGTTGCTAAAGAAATTAAAGAAGACAAAAAATGAAAAGACATTTGTGTTTATGGGTTAGAAGATTTAATAATTTTAAAAACCACTTTATTGGAATGATAAGTGGTCAATACTATCAAAAGTGATCTTCAGATTCAATGTAATCTCTATCAAAAATCTCAATTATGCTTTTCTTTTTTATACAAATTTATTTTTTATTGATTTCAGAGAGAAAAGGAGAGGGGGAGAGAAATAGAAACATTGGAGATGAAAGAGAATCATTGATCAGCTGCCTCCTGCATGCCCCCACTGGGGATTGAGACCTGACCAGAAATCACACCATGTCCTCTTGGTTTCTAGGTCAATGCTCAACCTCTGAGCCACACCAGGTGGGATCAATGATTCTTTTTATAGAAACAGAAAGGTCTATCCTAATTCATATGGAATCTCAAGGTACCCCAAAGAGCCAAAATAATCTTGAAAAGGAACAGAGTTGGAGGTCTCTCACTTACTGATTTCAAAGCTTACTACAAAACAACAGTAATCAAAACAGTATGGTGTTGGCATAAAGACAGACATATAAACCAATGCAACAGAGAGCCCAGAAATAAACCCTCACATAATACAGTCAAATAATTTTCAACAAGAGTGTCAAGATCATTCAGTAGTGAGAATACAATCTCTTTACCAAATGGTGCTGGGGAAACTGGCTATCCACATGCAAAAAAAAAAAAAAAAAAGTTGGACTCTTACCTTGGGTCATACAAAAAATTAAGTCAGAAAGGTTAAAGGACCCAAATGTAAAAGCTAAAACTACAAACCCTTAAAAGAAAACATAGGGGGAATGTTTCATGATACTGGATAGGCAATAGTTTCTTGAAATGACAACAAAATGCAAGCAATAAGAGAAAAAAAATAAATTGTATTTCATCAAAATTTAAACTTTTATGCATCACCCTAGCTGGTTTAGCTCAGTGGATGGAACATGGGCTTGCGGATTGAAGGGTCCTGGGGTTGATTCTGGGGAAGTTAACGTGCCTGGGTTCGGGCTCGATCCCCCATAGTACAAGAGGCAGACAATCAGTGATTCTCTCTTATCACTGACGTTTCTGTCTCTCCCTCTTCCTTCCTCTCTGAAATCAATAAAAAAGTATTTTTAAAAACTTATATGCATCAAAGGACACTATCAACAGAGTCAAAAGGCAACCCACAGAATGAGAAAAAAATACTTGCAAATCATGTATCTGATAAGGGATTAATATTCACAATATATATATATATATATATATATATATATATATATATATATATACTCCTACAAATTAACAACAACAAAAAATAAACAACCCGCTGGGACCGGTTTGGCTCAGTGGATAGAGCGTCGGCCTTCGGATTGAAAGGTCCCAGGTTCAATTCCGGGCAAGGGCATGTACCTTGGTTGCAGGCACATACCCAGTGGGGTGTGTGTAAGAGGCAGCTAATCGATGATTCTCTCTCATCGTTGTTTCTAACTCTCTATCCCTCTCTCTTTCTCTCTGTGAAAAATCAATAAAATATATAAAAAAATAAAATAAAAAAAATAAACAACCCAATAAAAATGAGCAAAGGACTTGAACAGACATTTTCTCCAAACATGTACAAATGGCCAATAACCAAATGAAAAAAATGCTCAACATCACTAATCAAAACCACAATGAGATGCCATTTTACATCCTTTAAGACGACTACTAAAGCAAACCAAAAACAAACAAACAAAAAAACAGAAAATAGTTAAGTGTTACCTAGGATGTGAAGAAACTGAAACTCTTGTGTACTGTTGATATGAATGCAAATGATGCAGCTGCTATAGGGAACAGTATGGCAGTTGCTTGAAACTTTAAAAATAGAATTACCATATGATTCAGCAATTCCACCTCTGGGTATATACCCAAAAGGATGGAAAGCAGAAACGTAGACAGGTATTTATACATCCATGTTCAAAACAGCACTATTCACAGTAGCCAAAAAATAGAAGCAACACAAGTATCCATCTATGGTGCATGAATGGATAAACAAAGTGTGGTACATACACTCAGTGGAATATTGTTCAGCCTTAAAAAGAATAAATTCCAAAATGATACCACATGAATGAATCTTGAAGATATTACGCTAACTGAAATAAGCAAGTCATAAAAGAACTTGTATCATTCCACTTATATGAGGTACTTCATTGTCAAAATCTTTGAGACAGAAAATAGAATGGTGGATACCAGGGGTTAGGAGGAGAGAGTCTAGGGACTAGGGAGTTCAATGGGTGCATGAAGTTTTAAAATTCTGTAAATAGTGGTGATGGCTGCATAACATTGTGAATGTACTTACTGCACTGTACAATTAAAATGCTTAAAATTGTAGCCGAAACCGGTTTGGCTCAGTGGTAGAGCGTCGGTCTGCGGACTGCAAGGTCCCGGGTTTGATTGCAGTCAAGGGCATGTACCTTGGTTGCGGGCACATACCCAGTCGGAGGTGTGCAAGAAGCAGCTGGTCGATGTTTCTCTCTCATCGACATTTCTAGCTCTCTATCTCTCTCCCTTCCTCTCTGTAAAAAATCTATAAAATATATATATTTTTAAAATGCTTAAAATTGTAAATTTTGTTATTTTTTTATACCACAATAATTTTAAAAACCACTTTACTGAAATGATAAGGAAAATAGTAATGTTCTGAACCAAGGGGCCAAGATGGCTTGTCATGAATAATTCATGACTAATGATAGCTTAAGAAACCAAGTGAATAATTTATTTATAAATGAGCGATGCTACTATTATTAGAAGAATATGGGGCTTACATTCTTTAATGTATGTGCATCAGTGTTGGTGTATGTATAATATGTGTGTGTGTGTGTGTGAGAGAGAGAGAGAGAAAGAGAGAGAGAGAGAGAGTTAAGCAGAAGAGAAAGAAGTATACAAGTCTAGGCTCCCCTATGAAATTCGCTACATATATGAATAACATGCGATATGTTTGTTTAGGTAAAGAATTACAGTGCTGGATCACAAAATAATAGAACCTTGGGTGGGAGAGACTTAAAGAGGCTAGATCAGTCAACCAACCAATATCTGTCTCTTCTACCTTTTACAGGGACTCGCATCTTCTCTGGATGTCAGACTTTACCTGGAGCAGAATGAGAGTTCCTGTAGTAACTAGGCCAAAATCTGCCACCCTGTAGCTTCGACAGTCCTGGGGTCTACCCATTCAGATCAAACAAAGCAAGTTGATTGTTTCCTAATGTCAGTCCTTCACATATGTTAAGAAATACTGCATTGTCCACAGTCCTCCATAGATTTATTTATTTCTTCTGAGCTACAAAACCTTAGCTCTTTCAGCTCCCTTCATAGGCAGTCACTCTCATTCATCCATCTCCCTCTGAGTAAGACGGACAGCCCCCATTTTTCATGGGACCTCTGCCTTTCAAACACTGCAGACCTGCTTCCCTGATGTGTGTGCACATGCGGAAGGAAAGGAAAGGTAACCAAACTGCCTCAGTGTGTTATTAACAAGGCATCGAAAGTTTTCCATAATGCTCTCTACTTTCTGAGTTCCTCCTTCCTTTTCCTTTACACCGAGGGCAGGTCTCTAATATGGTTTATTTCCACGTGTCTGACTATAGAATTTGTTGGTTTGGATTTATAAAAATATCTGAACAATAACAAAGCTAAAGTAAGTAAACTTAGAAGTTTACTTTCCCCCCACTTTGATTGGTAAGTTGGTTGGTTGGTTAGCTGGTTGGTTGGTTGGTTGGTTGTCCCAGGTTCAGGCTTTGGCTGTTGCCAGATTCCAATGAGTCCCACCCATTATTTCCAAGAGTACCCTGAACAGCAGGAGGCGCTGTTTCTCACAGCCTGCCCTGATACACTGTTTTCATCTGGGTCACTGCACTCATCACTTTCCCAGGCGTTATTTCATATGGACCTCCTGGTGGGTAGGCGGACACTTGCATCCAAAGTCATCGGGGAGAAAACACCACACCACGCTTACTTGTTACAGCCACGTGCCGGTTTGCTTTGCCTTCATCTATCACATCCATGACTTCCTCGGGGCTGGATACAAACCGCTCAGTGCACCCCTGCAAGACAAGCAGTTCAGGTTCCCTGTGGAAATGCTGAAAAGTAACAACGCTTAAAACAGCTAAATATATTCCCATTTCTCCTCTAGATGTGCAGAGAAAGAGAAGGGCTGCAAGGCTGATCCAGCAACTTTCCTCCCCTTGCCTAAGGCTTGAATTCTACATTAAAAAGGAAGGCTGAGCAACCCCTAGGAAACCCAGAAATAACCCAGAAAAGGAGCCGAACTTCCCTAGATTTTTGAGTACTTATTCAAACTCAACAGCAGCGAAGACGGAAATAAAGAAGAAAATCAATTACAGAAAAAGAAACATGAAGTTTTGCTTTGTCTTCTATCTTTATTTATTACCATCTAGCCACCAACTTTAATTAGACACTTTGAAGTGCTATACAATGCTATAATAGGCTTCCCTTAATAGCAAAGTATGAACGACTAGACTCACTACCATAGCCCCGTTAAATGTGAATAAGAGATGTCTGCTCACTCTGTAATTTTCAGCATGGGCTTAGACATCGGTGATACATTCACATAGGTGATCTTAGATATCGGTGATACATTCACATAGGTGATCTGATTGAAGACATTAAATGTCTATTTTTTTAACCAGGTGAATTTTAAATATAAGAAACATGATTAAATATCTGTATGTGCTTTATATATGTAATATTCTGGGCATCTTATGTACTAATTATTTTGACAGTGACTGGAGTTAAATTAATTGCACATCAATCAAGTTTTCCTCATACCTTCACATATGGGACTCTGTTTTTATCTTCATGAACAGCCAAGTTTGTCTTGGATACTATAGAGATAATAATGATGACATGCAAAGAAGAAAAGAAAAGTTAAAGACCCTGTAATGGTGGAAAAGTAGAAATTGTTATAAAAGATCGGCAAACCTATCTCTTTGCAATATATATGAAAGTTTAAGCCTTGGGTGAGAATAAGCAGACAGTCTGAAGGCAAGAGAACACCTCTAATACACTTTTATTAATTCCTTAAGCGGAAATGCTATGCATCAATTCAATCTCCCTGCACTTTAGTTACAGAACAAATAAAGGACAAGCATTTGGGTTACTTACCATCGAGTAAGTCCCTGATTTTGTCCAAGTAGATCTCAAAATAGGAAACCTGTTAAAAGCAAATTAAGTATGAGACAGAAATGCTTCACTATATTACCAAAATGTCGTTATTAGAACTTACAAGAGCTTTTTTCATGCATCAGCTAACAAGAGTAGGAAGGGGTCCAGAGTGAAGATTGAGAGCCACAGCATGCGGAGCCCTGCCCTCTCCTGTATCTCCCCGCTTGCCGCTTTGCGGGCTCAGTGTGGGCCACTCGCCATCCCCGCTCATCACAGCTCCCTATGGTTCGAGCCAGGTGCTATTTACATCGTGTGCTAGACAATCACTTAGAGGAGGACACTAGCTTTTACTTTAAATGAGCACCAAGGAGACTTCTGGGGATGACAACAGCTAGAATAGAAAACGTTATTTGCAAGTAATTGTCAAAAACCAGTAGGCCTTGACTTATGCCTGATAATGACATAAGCCTCATCTGACTAGAGTGGGAGCATGACCCAAACATTCAAGGAGGTGGGGAAGGTGGTAAAGGTAGTTTCCTTAGAACTAGAAGAGCTCAGAAAAGTAACTGGGAGAGAAATCATGATGGTGGCAGGTTTAGGGAGTCCAAGAAAGATTTAAACAAAATGTGATTTAATGAAAGACAGCTAGCCTGTAAGAGGGAAAGAAAGCCTTCCAATTAATCATGCTCAACCCTCAGTTCCAGCACCACCTACATCAGCATCTCGCATAGCATTTGTTTAAACTGCAAAGGCCTATACCCAACTGCAGTCCTCCTGGAGCCAAATTTCAAAGAATAGGACCCAGGAATCAGCTTCTCAACTCCACTCGATGACTAAGGTCTGAGAACAACTTTAGCCAAATGTGATCTTGAAAATTTAGTTCACGTGTAACCAAGATCCTAGGCCTCAACTTTCCCATCTATTAAATGAAGCCATTAGACTTGATGATGTCAAAAAGTCCCTATAGGATTTTCCATTCTACCTAAACGTGCCTTCTGCCTCCCAAACCAAATGTTCTCTTTTATGTTCAAGGGTATTTTTGGAAATCTAAACAAAAGAATGGACAAAAAAAATTATTTTAAACCAGGCATGCAAGCATGACCAATGGACACAGATAATATGAGGGTGGGGGCATGTGTTGGGGGGAGAGGTCAATAAGGGAAAAAGGATAGATATGTAAAACTTTCAACAATAAAGAATTTTAAAAGAATTATTTTTTAAAATAAAGTTGAAAAAATAGTTGTGAAGTTGGGATGAAACCTCACCTCCACATCCCAGCTCTGGACCAGTCTTGCCTCTAGTCAGGCAACAAGCAAAGACTTCATTACCTGGCAATGGTTCGTTATCTTTTGTTTGTATCTCATGACTTCTTAGTATCTCTGAGATCTGGGGTCCTGACTTCGAACCCTGGAATCTATATCTGAGCATCCTCTCCAGGTTATCTGTCTCCCTGATATTCTCTGCCTGCTCAAATGTCTGTCAAACTCCTACTTCACTGACTGGGTCTGCTAAGGATACACCTACCTGACCTTTGAAAGACCCACTGCTCCCATTCCTGGAATCCTATAGGCCTGTGGCTTCTACTCTTAAATATCTCTCCCTAACTTAGCCCTGACTGCAGCTAACTCAACCTTGGCTTCAACCCATACTACGTATTCCAGAATTGTCTGATTTTCAATAAAACGCTTTTGGTATCTTTGAGATCTTAAACATGTGTCCTTATTTCCATAGATTATAGATAACATTAAGTACATCTAAAATGCAGTCATTGAGCCGAAACAGGTTTGGCTCAGTGATAGAGCGTCGGCTTGGGGACTGAAGGGTCCTGGGTTCGATTCCGGTCGAGGGCATGTACCTTGGTTGCGGGCATATCCCCAGTAGGGGGTGTGCAAGAGGCAGCTGATCGGTGACTCTCTCTCATCGGTGTTTCTAACTCTCTGTCTCTCTCCCTTCCTCTCTGTACAAAAATCAATAAAATATATTTTTAAAAAATAAATAAAAGTAAAAAAATAAAATGCAGTCATTAAACTAGATATTAGCAAATCTGGCCATCAGAATCCTGTCTACATTTAATACAAGTAGAAAGAGAATCTGAGTTATTCATTTCTTTTTACCATAGCAGATACTGACCGCTTTTGGCAGGGACTTTTAATTTTGCCATTTTTTGTCACTTCCAATACTTTGTGAGGCCAGGTAAAAGAAAAATAAATAGGAATTGTTTGGCATTAAGAAAACACATATTCAGCCCTAACCAGTTTGGCTCAGTGGATAGAGCGTCCACCTACGGACTAAAGGGTCTCAGGGCATGTACCTTGGCTGAGGGCACATACCTAGTAGGGAGTGTGCAGGAGGCAGCTCAATTGATGTTTCTCTCTCATCGGTGTTTCTAACTGTCTATCCATCTCCCTTCCTCTCTGTTAAAAAAAAAAAAAATATATATATATATATATATATATATATATATATATATATATATATATATATTTTAAAAGAAAAAGAAAAATGCACATTCAGAAATGTTTAAAATTACTGTGGGACCTACTTTAAGGGACATATTTTTAATATTGCTTTAATCAAGGCCCTTTTTCTTGATTAGACCTGTCACTATTCAGTCCAAAATATATAGCTAACTTTTATGTATGAAATAAGTAAGCATAACTACAAACAGAGGACAGGAACCTGGGCAGTAAAATTCAGCCCTAGAAACTTGGGTATTGTTCCTCCTCTCCTCCCCTTTCTTGCTGGGGCTGCTCTTACCTTAATAACATTCTAATGGGAGACCCTATTTTGAGGGCAGTAATTGGTTTAACATCTTATTCCAGGATTATCCCTTAAGAAGCCCACAGTAGTTGGAGGTATTTAAATGCAAACAGCCTTAAAGATACACTAAGCTCCTAAATCTTGATCCCATCAAAGCAACAAGCATCTGTGTCCTTAGATATAAAGAACCCTGGCAAAAAGCTGCTTCAGCCAACAAAGGGAACATAAGGAAAAAGATTTGCCAGATGCAATTTATAATTGGGCAGCCATTGCCTTGTTTTTATATAATTTATGAAAGGTGCTTGGCAGAAATAAAAAGGATAGAATTTAAATATAATGGAAAAGTTACTGCATGTGTTGGTCCGATCACGAGCTTAATCTCAACTCTGCCAATGACTTGATCTGTAACTTTGGACATCTGGATCTATTTCTTTGAACTTCCGTTTCCTCGACTCTAAAATGCTGGGACTAGTGGAATAAGGTCTCAGCTTTCAAGGATGATCAGCCTCTTGACTGATCTGCTCAGCTCCACATCTTCTTAGAACTGCCCGCCCCTGTCCACCCTGCCCCAGTCAGCATGGTAGGGGCCAGTCAGCCATGAGCATCTTGGACACAGCTAATTGGAACTGGGGAGCACCTACTGCAGGCTGGGCCAGTGGGCCAGCTTCCTGGGGAATTAGGAATTAGCAATAAGGGAATGTGGAGCAGGGGCTGCCATGGTGCACCACACACACATACACACATACACACATACACACATACACACATACACACACACACACACACACACACACACACACACACACACCAAAGAAAGCAAGAAGGCAGAAATGTAGAGACTGTAATGAGTGTGGTGTTTCTTTTGAGGGGAAGAGGGCGTTATAAAATACACCAGAATTAGGTAGTGATCATGGTTGTACAATTTTGGAAAGAGACTAAAAACTATCAAATTGTATACTTTAAAAGAGCAAATTTTATGGCATGTGAATTATAACTCAATTTTTTTAAGTTAAAAAGGTAGGACCTGGATTTATTGCTTTTCCACAACTCATCCCCTCCAGGACTGCTATCAGATTCACTATCTTAAAACCACTTCCTCTGTTTGCTTAAACAAGTGGCTTTCAGTCACTTGAAAACAAAGAAGTGCCAATGAATATACCCCAAATACCAACATGAATTTAAGCAAAAACGTAAGTTCTGGTTTAAACACACAAACAAAACAAGAAAGAGAACTTCCTTCCCCAACATTTCTCAGCATGTGCTCCTCAGTACACTGGTGCCAGGGAGGAAAAGCATGCCCAGCCAAGCTGGCAAATGTAAGTCCCCATGTCCCCTTTGCAGACTCACATTACACAATAGCAGCTCTAAGCAGGTGATAAATGTAACACTGTGTGATGAGACATGTTCTCAGCCTATAGGGCCACATAAGTATTTTCCCTGGTAAACATAGCATTCATACTTCTATGAATAATAAGAGGACTGTGTTCCACGGAACACACTTTGTGGACCCATTCCAATCATATCTGTAGAAACCCACAGGCCAAAGGGCAGGAGTCGGGCAGCTGTCAAGGTGATTCCATCCAAAAGAAAGCTTTTATCTTAATTCATTATCTCAGTAAACCATCCAGACAGCTAGGCATTACCTTAATTAGTAAATAAAAAATATGGCTCTGCTTTAGCACAGGAATGTCATTTAAATGAGAGAAGACCATCTTTTTCATGTGTACACAATACGAAGAAAGCCAAGAAACACAGTTTTGGGCTCTGTTTCTTTTCTCGGGTCTCAATCAACGGCACGTACCTTGATGTGAAACTCCAGGTTTTCGTCCATGGAATATATATGGTCAAAGATGTCATGTGCGATCCGTGGGATGATCCCCATGAGTTGAGGGTCATGCAGCTTTCCCTAGTGGGAGAAAAACACAAACACAGGTGTTAGAGCACTGGAAAACATATGATAAAAGACCACACCTGGTTTCTTAAACAGAACTCTGCGGAACAGAGCACCCACGCATGGATGACTACTCCCTCGGAGCCACCCGCATGCCAGGTCACCAAAAGTTAGCCCAATATCTCCACGGGTCCGGTGTCTTTCCCAGCAGAGGACAGTGTGTTCTGCGAGGTTGTGAGGTTGTGAAGGCCCACAGTGCTCCTTCCTGCTGCCACTCATGTGAGTCAGTGGGTAGGAAGGAGGAAGAAAAGGAAGGAGAATGGCTGAGAATGTATGGATGACTATAACATACCGAAAATGTGGGTTTTGTTTTTGAATTTTTACAACCTGACCAGAAACTACAAACCCAAGTTAACCTGCTGTAATGCAGTTACCTTGAGAGCTGACACTCATTAATAGCATTATTTTTAAAAATATTCCTTAAGATCCTTGTTAGAAAATACCTTCATCACTTTGCAAACCAATCAAGAAAATCTATTTTATTAATTTCTTTTTTTTTAAATCTGTAATTCCCAGCCTGAATTGTTCTAAATAATGTTTGGCAGTTTCTAATCCATAAATCCAAATGTAAGATATTCTCTTATTCTTTACCTCTTTTTTCTAATTCTATTCATTTTATCTAAGGGGTATTGGAATAGATTGATTCTTCTGCTATGTAAACTATCAATAAATTAATTTTTAAGATCCAGACTTTCAAAAAGATACTAGCAGGTTATGAAAGCAATTCCTAAAGAAGAGTTCTCAAGTATTTAAAGCAATAGCCTTAGCATGGAGCTGGGTAGACAACTACTAGAGAGACTGATTGATTGATCTTTATCCTCACCCAAGTATAAGTTCATTGATTTGAGAGAAAGAGAGAGAAAAAACAAACATCAATGTGAGAAAGAAATATCGATCCTGCTTATGCCCTAATGGGGACTGAATCTGCAAACCAGGTATGTGCCCTGACAAGGAATCAAACCCACAACCTTTTGGCGAGCCACCAGCCAGAGCCCAGAGAGTTGTATTTATGCTCACACTCAAATGAACAGTTAGTTCCATTACATGTTAAACAAGCCTTCAGTAAACAAATGGCCTGCATCTTAAGTGGTCACTGGCAACTATATTCCCAGAGAATTTTTTCAGACCCTTTGAAAGTTTTAAAACTCTAGGAACAAATGGGCCTGGAAGACAAGCACAAAACCCAGCATGTTCTGCAGTGTTGCAGGGAAGCCCCACAACCTTTACAATTTTGACTCATATCCTTGTTCCAAATCTACCCAATAACTGGAAAATTGCTTTGTTTTTCTCAATCAAACCCTCTATTTCCTTCAGGGGTTCACCTGATAGTGCCTTGCTAAAAGTTGACTTCCAAGCCAACAGTTGAGTTACCAAAAGCAAGAAGTCATGTGATCCAGCACTGGTTCTAGTCTCTGGCAAAGCTCTCCTACCTGGGAAATTGGGCACTCATTGGAATGTCCTCCTCTGCTAAGATCCTAAATAATTTGATGTGTTTAGATTGCTTTTTAGTTTGTACACTCCCTAAAGGCAGAGGTGACCCATGCATACGTGCTTAACCCACTGCTTATACTTGGTACAGCATCTACTGCAGAGAATTATTGTGGAATTGAAATGCAACAGTTATATATAAAATCAGTGACAATAAACATTAGCATCCTATTATTCAGTTCATAACAGGCTCTCATTAAGCAGTTGTTGGAGTTTATTTGACCTGAGATCTGAAACATGTTTCTACCCCACACCATTAATATGTATCTTATGAAGCAACATCAAATGACAGAGACTGAAGGGCTCAAATGTTGGTCACTTTAATTTGCATAAACATGTAACAAATCAAATACTGGACCTCATTTGCCCTGAACTGTGGGAGCATTGGCAGAAATGACACCTGTGGTGAAAACATAGATCTCTCCAGTCACATGCTGTGACACCATGGGGCCAATCTTGACTCAGAGTCTAAAAGTTCCCCCACCCTCACTCTCTCCAGAGCTCTTTAATAATTCATCACAATCCTTTAGCTTCTCCTCAGAATCCACAACCAAAGAAGAATGATTAATAATCCAAATATCATGTGTAATGGACTCGAATCTGTTTCCCTAGACAATTTCCCTTGCAACGGATTCATCTTTCAATTGATTCCTCGTTAATACAGTACTGACATCCCTTGCTTGCCTTTGTCAGGGAAAGAACTGAAGCAGAACCAGTGGTCCATCTAGGATGCTCCCCGTTTAGTTTCCCTGAAGCCTCCACCCCAACAACACATGAGAGGGAAGCACATGTTCATTTGGAGACAGAAGTGATCCCCAATCTACTGCAAGCTTAAGGACTGAGATGCCTGATCTAGCACATAAGCCCAAGAATGGTGAGGGCCTTTATGTTCATTGGACTGAGCCTGCTCAAACAATCTGTGTGTGGGGGGAAGAGGGAAGGGGAGAAAGGTTTTGATTTGTGAAGTGTTGTGTGTGTGGTGTGTGTCTGTAGTGCATATGTGTGGTATGTGGTATGTGTGTACTGTATATGTGTGGTATGTGGTGTGTGTATGGAGAGTCTGGGTGTGAGTGGTGTGTACATGTATTAATATGTGTGGTGTGGGATGATGGTGTGTGTGGGGGGGGGGGGATGAGACAGAGGTGTTCCATTAAGAAAACCTTCACTGCTTCTAGGCTAATTACCTTGCAAATGAAATACACATGTACACACATACAACAAATATTAACCTCGGGCAATCAAAAGTGGTAAAGAAGCAGATGGCTATCAGAGAAGGGAAAGTTCCTTCGGGTGGGGAGGTGTGGGATGGTTTCCTTGAGGAACTGATTCCTGAGGGACGAGTAAGATTAGGGACGGGCAGAGAGGATGCAGGCAGAGAGGATGAGATGGAAATAACATAGCAAAGGTACATGAACAAAGAGAGAACGATGCTCATTCAGAGAACAAGTTTAATTGGCAGGAAAATCAGGGATGGACTTCAATAGCAAAGAAACATATCACTTCATCATCATGCCCCTCCGAGAGAGCAAAAGAACGTTTTTTAAAGTATTTGATCCTGTATAATCTTCTTCAAAAACGTCCCCCACTTTTCAGAAGGGCCTTCTAGGAGCAAGTATGAAAAAGGAAACCATATCCAGGCCGAGGGCCACAAAACAACACTCTCTTTGTTCCAGACCCAGCTGCCTCCTCAACCTCCCACGGAGGACGTTTCCTGAAACACTTAAGATGGGAAAGCAGGCAGCCATCAGCGCAATGCACGCAGACAGGCTCATTAAAACCACTTGGCGGGCTCTCTCGGCAGCAGGGCAGCTCATACCCTTTCGCTGGCCTCAGGTGTCCCTTTGGGCAGATGGAAAAACACCAGTGTCTCCTCCATCCATGTCAGTGTGCTAAAGGCCACGAGGTAAGGCTGAACCACAGGTGGGACCACAGGAAGCCTCTCCTCCCACCCTGGCAGCACCCAGCAGCACCACCTCCAGCGCAGGCCCCCAGCCCAGGCCAGGCCGCTGCGCCTGCCGCTCAGCACCAGCACTCTCAAGGGTTTCATATTTTTACTGAAAATCCGCCTTAAATGCTCCATCTTCAAAAGCTAATCTTTCCCAATTTTATGTAGGCTTATCTGTTTGTTCCCCTCAACAGAAGGTAATGGAATCACCACTGGATGTCAGAACAAAAATGGGGGGATTAACATGAAAACAGCTTTACAATGTGACAGCTCTGTCCATTCAGCGCGTCCACGTCCTCTCCCAAAGCCTCTGAAGGATCACAGTGTGTAACTCCGAACGGCAACATCGCTCCTTTCAGGCGGTGCAAACCCCGCAGGGTTTCTTTCCATTTAATTGCATCCCAGGGTCCTGGATTTCTCGGTCTCCTGCAGTCTCCACGACGTTAGCTGGGGATTCCTTTTTTCCCCTCTAAAATATCCCCTACCTTTTCTCCAATTTATAATCACCCCCCAGAAAGAACCAGATTAAATGGGGTGGGGGCACTCGGAAAGGCCTCATGTCCCCCACTCCTTCCTCCTGTCAGCACGAGGATGTGATTTACAAAAGTCACCCTCAGATGCTCTCAGCCTGTTAAAACCCACACGGAGAGGAAGGCCACAGGATTCAGGCGGCTGTGAGCGTGATCGCACAGAATCCAGTTCCCTTTTGGTCCCGAGTCCCTCTGGGATTCAGCACTGCTGCAGCCATGGTGGGGTTCAGGCCGTGAAACACAGAAGGCTGGAGGTGCTCTCATTAACGAAATGCCTCCAATTTTAGTTTTAACTTGCCGACACACCTCTTTGCCAGCATTATGCACCCACTTATTCTTCCCACTCCCAGATTTTACTCTGGAATCTTTCCTTCAATGGTTTACAATGTAAATACCTGATATTTAGCAAACGCCTTGCATTTTCAAAAAATGGTTAATCCCTAAAGCTAAAAAGGTCGCTCTTGTAAACATTCTCTAAGATTTTATAGAATTTTAAATAATGCATTTGGGGGAGGTTGTTGCTGTTTTGTATATTATTTGGTAATTTTCCCAAGACCTAGAGTAATTGATATTCTCAGGATACCCTCTCTCTTTCATATGCCTTCTGACCTAGGAAGGAGCTTCAGTCCCGGGCTACTGGAGTGGGTGGGACTTGGAAAATGCATAACAACAACTCTTCTCAAATCTAGAAGGGTAAGGGTCTGGGACCCAGGACGAGGGGCAGGTGAGGGGCTGGGGCAGCAGCACAGGACCCTGGGCCTGCGTGCCAAGCTGTGCTGCTGGAGGAGGCCCGGGGTCAGGAGGCAGTCCTGCCCTGCCCAGAGGAGGTGGCAAACAAGCCTCGTGCTTCCTTTCATCTGTGCAGCCTCTGAACCACTTTGTCTCCAGCAAAATGGTGAGAGCGAGTCCACACAACAGAAATGAGATCCCCAGAGTCACACCCCACGCTTGAAATCAGTGTGAGCAGAACATCAGCGCCCCGAGGATTTTAGCCTCGTGCCTTTGAAATCTCCTCTTCAATAGGAATGCTTCATAAGCTAAACTGATGCTGCAGCAGCCGTCTCCGTGATATTCCCAGGAGGGCACCGTAAATGGAAAAACCTAAGCTTGAAGGATTAAGGATTCATCTTACCCCTCTTAGAAACTGAATTCCCCCAAAGTTTCTCAGAGCAGTCTCTCATAATAACCACTCTTCCGCCTCTCCTACATGCTAGGTGGGCCCCGCCTCAGAAGAAAGACCTGGCCCTGAAGGCCTCCAGGAGGCCACAGGCAAAGCAGGGAAAGAAGAGGTTCAGGGGCCAGTCTGTCAGCAGATGTGCTTTGTCTGGAGGACAGCCGGAGCCACAGAGCTCCGTGGCCCACAATCAAGCTGGGGTCACACGCTGACGCGCCCACAGAGGCCAGGTGTGTGTGAGTGAATGAGGAAGGAAGCTGAAGATGAGTTCAGACTCATGGTGTGCATGGAGTGGGCTGGAGCAGACCAGAGAGCCCAGCCCCGTTCACATGGATTGGCCAAGGCCAGGGCCCCCACAAGTGTATCATTTTAACAACATCAAACCTCTCCTAGTCCCACACACTAGACATGTGAATAGAAACGTGACCAGGACAATGAAGATCCCTGCTTTGAAGCTCACCCTTAACAGTATGGTGAAATCTTACCTAGTGTTGCTACATCTTCAGAATTTTAAACCAAACATGGACACCTAAAATTGTGTGAAGTCATTTCATTTTAAACATTGCCTAAAATTATCAACAAAACAAAACCACTGTGCAGGCCAAACAAAAATACATCTGTGGGCTGAATCTGATCCACAAGCTAACTTCTTTCGTCTCTGACCTACAGTTTTTTGCATTTCTGAGGAGACGCCTCCCCAGGTTTCCTCCTTAGGGTAAATGATTTTCACAGAGATTTTCGGTTAGACTGGGCTCCAGTCCATACGAATACTCACACCACTGATTAGCCTGTTGATGATTATTTTTAATAAAATTATTATTACTATGACAGAGCTATTAACAAAGAATTTTTTTAAATACTGAACTCCTGAGATTTTATTACTCCCCATTATTTTTAAACTCTTAAGGATACAATAAACTGGTTAAACATAACCATGCCTTAACCATCTCTATTGCCCAGTAAAAGCCACATGCACTTCAAGTTGTGTTCAGTCTCAGAGCCTGACATCGCAGCCCACTGCAATCGTACCTCCATGGTATGCGTTTTTCCTGACGAAGTCTGTCCATAAGCGAAAATTGTCCCATTGTAACCTTCAAGGACATCTGCAAGCAAGAAAAAAGTGAAATTGCCCATTACTCTCATCATATGCATATTTTTAAATTACATTTTCCAAATGGTCCATCTCATTTTTCACACAATTGATATTTCGACTCCATTTGCTAAAATTAAATGTTTAAGTAGAATTGTGAGGGAAAAGGCAGAAATGAGTCTCTCCTGCTCCACAAACAAGAGAAATGGACTCACATTCCTCCAGAACTTGTTAGGGTGGAGGGAAGCAGACACACACACTTCCCCCAGGAACATCAAAAAATTACCACAGATGTGGAGCTTTTATTTTCCTTTTAGTAGAAAGATACTTGGGTTTTCTTCTCTAAGTTGCTCTCTTGGGATCAGCCAGGGGAAAAATCATTATTTGTTCCCTAAGTCTCTGGAGTGAGGTTCAGAATAGAATTTCTTTCCTGAAGGTCTGATTTGGGTTGATCTGAACCCTGGCCCAGGCGAGCTTCTTGGGGAGGTTTCTTGTGAAGGCCGCACCAGAGCCCCTGCAGAGGGAGCTGGTCCAGAGCCGTGGGGGCAGGCCCCGCTCTGTAAACTGAGCCACACAGCAACAATCCAGTCAGCCCAGACACCGCCAAGACCCTGACTCGAAGTTAATGCCTCTGTTTTTAGCGACTGAACCCATCAGCATCGGGGTTCCTTTAATGCACTTCGAGCACTGGGCACCCGCACAGGGCGGCAGGCTCCCATGGGGATGGGGAGGGTGTGATGGAGCCTGCTCGGAGCTGAAGATTATCTGTGGGAAATTCTCTCAAAGCAGCAGAGGTAATCAAAATACATTGTGTGCTTGTTTTCCTCCTGCATCCACATAAACCTCATGGAAAGGGGAATGGTGCATAATGAATATCCTTGACCACCCTCTCTACATAAGGGGAGGAGACTTCATTCCCCAAAGGGTGGTACAGGGAGAGGACCCCCACCCAGCTGTCCTCTTTAGGGATGGAGCCAGGCAACCCCTCCATTCAGCTCAGGTCCTGATCAGGTGTTCGTGGCTGGTGGGTGGGTCTCTCTAAACTGTGTGATGCAAGCTGGTTTTTGTTGTTTGATTGGATTTCCTAAAAAAAAATATTTAATATACATTTTACTGATCTGAGGTTACTGAAGTCTGAACTGAGGCCAGAAAAGAAAGTGGGATGTCCTTTAGGAAACTAAGAAAGGGAAAATTAAGTGGCAGGATTTGTTAAATCGTAGCAGCCCTCAAGATTTCTCGTCAGGCTATACTGAGAGAATGTTCACACATATCAGACTTCTGGTAACAGGGAAAGCAAAACCTTGAAGAAGACGGAAGGGCTGGAGGTTCAAGCTTCAGTTTTCACGAAAATGCCAACTTTGTCAGACAAAAAATTCCTCAGAGCTGAAAACAGTGGCCAGAGCAGAGAGCCTCTACACATACACGAATGTGATAAGCTTTGAGGGACCCAGGAAAAAGGTTTTGCATTTTGGCTGTACTTTTATTTTATTTTATCTTATTTTATTTTATTTTGATATTGCATTGATTAAAGCTAGGGACGGGGAACAAGGAAAGGCCTGGGATAGAAGAAGTGGCAGGAGAGCCTAGGGCTGCTTTGTCTCTGGAAACATGGGAAAGAAATAAGCCCAGACCTGGCTGCTGTCATCTCCTTGGGAAGCCAGAGAAAAACAGCTTCAGGGTAAGCCCAGGACTAACTGAAGCTGCCCATGCTCCCCTGGCTGCGAGTTCCTTGGAACTGAGGAGAGAGAGATGTGCCTCTGGGGGAAGAATGAGAGAAAGGGGAAGGTGTGATGTGCTCCTGGAGAGAGAGTGTGCTCCTTTGGTTGTATTTTTAAAATTCTATATTCATGGCACAAACAACTCCAGGCAACCAGAATTCTAGCTCCATCGCCACACTAAAACTTCTATTTCTTTTTTTTTTTTTTTAATATTTTATTGATTTTTTTTTTTTTTTACAGAGAGGAAGGGAGAGGGATAGAGAATAACATCAATCAGCTGTCTCCTGCACACCCCCTACTGGAGATGTGCCCACAAGCAATGTACATGCCCTTGACCGGAATCGAACCTGGGACCCTTGAATGAGTCCACAGACTGATGCTCTATCCACTGAGCCAAACCGGATAGTGCAAGCTTCTGTTTTGCAGACATTAAACATCTCCCCCTCCCCCCCCCCCTTTCTCCAAACTGAAAGGGCTTCCATGTAGGACGCACTCTGGGACCCAGTAGCTCAGGCGTTAGGACAGGGCTAAGGGAGCCAAGGCCGAGGGTCCAGCTGCCTCTGCTCCTGGGATTGGGCCCCTGGCCACCCTACAAGTGCCCACGTTCCCAGGCGGGGACTCTGAGCAACCTGCCACACCTCAGAGCCCGCGCCCCGCTGACAGGAGAAAACCTGCATGGGCTTCTTCCCCTGCAGAAAAGCAATGGGGCCAGGACATCAGACTGGGCCTCCCAGATGCCCCAGCCAGTCCGCCTCCCTGACTCCCCGCACGCTCAGCAGAAGGCAGCCCCGCCAACCCCAGGCAGCTGTGGCTCACCGAGCACCCGCGGGGTAAGAACTGGGACACATACGTGACCTTGTGCAGTGAGGAGCTGGGGAGCACATGGAGCTATATTAGAGAATCCCTGATTGCTTGCTGCTGCTATTTCAACACTGAGCAGAGGGCTTTTCTTTTTTTTTTTTTTTTTTAGGAAAAGGAGAGAAAATAAAAGCCCAATAGAACAAATTCCACTTGGCCTTAAAGTCTTTACAATCATGTTACAATAAATTTATTGTTGAAGAAACTGCCTAATGCTCAAGGTTGAACGGAGGGATGGCTGCTCTCTATCGATTCAATTCTGAATTAGAAGGTAAATGAAAAAGGAAAGGAAAGAAGAGAAGAGAAAGGAAAGAAAACAAAAGGCTCTCTGAACCCAGTGTTCTCTATTTTCTCCCCACTCTGCGTTGGGGAGGGAGCTTGTTTGTTTACTTGCGTACTCTAAGTGTGGTCATTTCCTCCAGGTGGGAAGGAGAAGTGGGGAGGGCTGAGGGGGGGAAAGCACAAACAATGCCTTTGGGGACGGACCACTGAGGGGACAGGAGCCAGAGGCCTGAGCTAGCGCCATGCAGAGCCACACAGCCACCCACCATCTGGAGCAGAAACAGCCCACAAAAGGCACTTTCATCACGGTGAGTGGCAGTTCCTGGGCCAGAGGAAAGCACTTGTTTCAGTCTCGACCGTGACAAAAGCCACAGAGCAGGGAACCGGCTCAGCCAGACAGAACCTTCCTTTGTGACCGTTTCTGGCGTGATGTGATCTCAGCCCACACCACCAGCCAGCAGCACCCCACAAACACAGCACACGTCCATCTGGTAGCCAGCAAACCCCAGAGAGTCCACTGCAGGCGGGAAGGGACATCTCCTCTCCCAGGAGGAGGGAGGAGGGCAGTGGGATACTTGAATATACTTGTTGTCTCTTCCTGCAGCCTCAAAAGCCAAGTTTTCAGTTCTAGTTTCGCTAGTTCTGAGCCCAGGCCTTCCTGGAGCAGAAGGGCTAGTTCGGTTGTCTGGTGAGAATTTGGGGAGGGCGACATCACACCTACACACCGTGTTCCCGCGGAGGCTGCCAGCGTTCCAGGTGAAATGGCCTGGCAGCGGCACCGGGGCCTCTGGCACCAGTGACTGACACACAAGTCATCCCAGCTTGGAACCCTACGGCTCTCTCCAGTCAACCAAAGAATGCAAGTAGCCCATGTGCAGAGAATGGGGAGGCGATCCCGCTGAATGCCAGGGCCAACCAGAATGCTGGGCTAACAGCCAGCCGGCAGTGCAGCCACTGCACCCAGGTGAGGGCTTGCGGCACCTTCAAAACTGAAATGCGTTACTGGCAGACAGGCAGGGCCATCTGGAGGTTCTAGAACCGCGACCTCTATGCTTTCTCCTCTGCCTTCCTCCCACCCCCATTCCTGTCCCTATCTTATTTCAATGCCTGGGTTAACTGTCCATATGGCTGATAGAAAGAAACAACTCACAAAATAATTATTATTAAATGCTCATTTGCCCTGGCCTGTAGCTTAGCTCAGTTGGTTAGAGCATTGTCTGGATACCCCAAGTTTGTGGGTACATACAATAATCAACCAATGAAAGCATAAATAAATCAATGGAACAAATTATTGATTTGAACAAATCAATCTCTCTCACTTTCTCACTCTCACTCTCTCCTCCCTCCCCCTTCTTCTTCCTCTCTAAAAATCAATCAATAAATTAAAAAAATTTAAATGCTTGGATGGGCCTGCCAGAAAAGTGTGAGGAGGACAGTGCAGAAAAAATCCAAGTAAGTCAGACAAACTCAGGCTCAAATCCTAGCCTCACTACCCCTTAATTGACTTGGCCCAATTGCTTCACCTCAAATTCCTTTTTGGTATTATACAATGGGGAAAATAATGCTTATACCCCATAGACCTGTTAAGATTTAAAATACAATAACATATGTAAAGTGTATAGAAGGTGCCTGATAGATAGCAGTAGAGAAGTAAACATATCTCCTTAAGAGTCATATGTAATAACATAATAGTAAAATAGACCTGAAAGTATTCTAAGCTTGAAATTCTTTAAAGGTCTATATTGCCTACAGGATAAAGGCCACCAATTCCAACCAAACTCTGATCCTGCCAAACTTTTTTTAAGTCTCATCCCCCTGCACCCTGTTCCACTATAAGTTGCCCAAACACGACACATAATTTGTGTCTTTGTGCTTTTGCTATTCCCTCTGCTTATACAGACTTTCTCCTGTCCTGGGGACCCAATCTTTCCAAGAAGCCTTCCTTAATTCTCCAATTCCCTTTCATACCCATCAAAATTGGTATCCGGTGACTTTCTTCTGCGCTCCAATAGCATTTGCACACACAACCACCTTAAAACTCATAATACCCATGTGAATGATGATTATGGCTGCATCTGTTTTCTTTTACTCAAAACTTCTTGCAGAGTCTTACATATCTTTGTTATCCAGTCCCTAGCAGAATCTACCACATGGTGGATATTTAATATGCAGTACCTGCATAAGGAATGGATGAAAGAAACAACCAAATGAATGAAGTTTAAAGAAACTAGATCTAGAAAACCACCTTCTCCAGCACTAGAGAGTCTACATCTAGTTAATTTGAAAGGCAAATGCCCTGGGTGACTTCTGGAGTCTGGGACATAGTTTCTCTACCTCAACAACAATATCCACTGACCCTGGTTTTTAAATCCTCGGTATTTATGGGAACCTTCCTATATACCAGGCTGGTAGTCACAAACCCTATAACCTCTTCTAGAAGAAAATTCCACATATCCTCTCAGAAAGCATTTTGAAAAACACCTCCAGACAAAGATGAGAGTGTGGGAGATGCCAGTACTCTAGAATCAAATGTTTAAAACACTTAAAAACCCAGTGACATCGAAGGGAATGAAAAAATCTGAGAGAGCATAAAGTTGCCAGTTAAAAGGAGTCCTCTTGATCTCAAAAATATTAAGGGTTTAGACAGATTTGAAAGGAAAGCTCAGAGTCCACCAGCTTGTCATGAATCACAGAGTCTATGGTGATCTTCACAGTCATCTAATTTAATTCTTGGCCCCTAGGAAAAAGGCCCCACAGCACCAGCTCCCTTTCCTGATTTAAGCGGGGCTTGTCATGGCAAGAGATAGCTTAGTTGTAACTGCGATCTATCCCAAGGAATTCTTTCCTACATACCTATGTTTGACCTGGCTGATGCCGAAATACATGGCCACTTCCCCTCATGCTAGCCTCAGTGGGGGTTAAAAAAGATAACTCAGGTCTTCATCACTCCCTTCTTAATTTCCTTTCAAGGGAAACGAAGGTAGTCTTTCTTGTTACAAAATGACTATGTTTATGCAATATTTATGGTGCCTGAAAAATGTGTTTATTATATCATATCAGGGCCTAATTTTATGCTAAATGGTTTTCTTTGTGGCTCACCATACATTGGGTCTCAAGTTATCCACAGTTAGGTCACATCTTCATGAGAACTCCCAGGCTATTTCTAACATTTCTTACTGTAGAAAAATCCACACACCGAAAGGGGGACATGAGTTTCTCTAGTAAATAAAGACGTAAAGATTATCATTGCTGTTTGCTAATCACAGGATTTTTTTTTAAATGGAGTTTATCTCTAATTATGATGACAATTTAGGGAGGGTGGGGATGTATTTAGATGGCCCTCATACTTAGCACAGCATGTGGTAAATACTATTTGGTCCTGATAATGAAGGGGAGAGAAAAAGATGATGATTCTGGCTCCCATGTGATTAAATTTACTTTAAGGAAGATATGAACAAGTATAATAATAGAGGAAAAGGAAGGCTGACTAGGGACAAACTAGAACTATATGCTCCAAAAAAACAGAGGGAGAAAAAATACGTTTAGGTAGAAAGAGAAGCAAAAGAGTAGAAATAAAGAGATGAAAATTACCATCCATGTAGGCTTATCCTATTAATTCAAAAAGAGCTCAAATTCAGGCATATTTTTTCCTTTTAGTTTTCTCTAAAAATGTTACTGTGAAGACCTTCAAAATTAATTGACGTTTGCAAAAGGAATGTGAATAACCATAGACCTCAGCAGGAACACTGCATACCGACAGGCTCCCACGCAGGTGGCCAGGGTCAGAATTAATCTAACAGATGTACCCAGGGCTGATTTTCATGAGTTCAAAGCATTAGGTTAGTCATCTCTGCTTCTAAAAATAAGCTTTAACACGACAAGGTGTTTTTTTTTTTTTCTTACTTTGTTTTTTATTTTTTTGCTCTTTAAATCCAGAGCGGCCTATAAAGGTGGCAGCATCAAGACATTTGAAAGCACAAATGCCGAAGCATTCGCATTTGAAAGCAAGGATTTAATGATGAAAAGCAAAGTAGCAGGAGATGGCTCTCAGCTCAGTGCAGATGGTGAGCTCGGCAAGGCAAGCTCAGACCTGTCCCTGGTTGGAAAGGGTGAGGGAGGGCGACTGGCAAATGCTTCTGCTCCCTACTGTTCCTGTGACACAAATCACTCAGGGCCACGGCTTATCCCAGAGAAAAAGGCGGATCTCCGGGACACAAATGTAGGCTTCAGGCTGCCTCGCTGGAGGAACCAATGTCGGAATCGGAGTGGAATGACTGAAAGTGGGTTACAGGGAAGTATAATTAAGGAAAGCTGAGTAGCAAAAAACAGCTCAATAACCAGCAAGGTGGTGTGATTTTATGATGCTGGAAAAAATTCTTGGACGCTCAAGAATTTTTCCACATTTAAGGCTTCTTTCTGAAGAGACCGATGCACAAAATAAACCCACCGAAAATAGACAATTGGAGCATCCGGAATATATATATTTCTCCTTGGAAGGAAAACAGAACTCGGCAACCTGCGGCAGTATTTTAAAACCAGCAGAGAAAAAGTGTGGTCGTAGCTCACCTTGCTTCTAAGTGATAAAATGGCTCTGCCAGGAAGGTGGCGGAAGAAATAAAGAGATCTCCTTGGAAAGGGGGTGTAGGGAGGTTAAATAACTTGCATGACATCCCCAGCAAATGAGGACCAGACCCCGGGCTATCATTCGGTGGGCCCAATTAGCAGGCCTCTGCTTACAGTCAAAGCACATTGATTCTTAAGCTGCAAATACCACTTAATGTTTTCAATTACTCTGAAAGGCTCAGGAGGAAATAAAGGAATGGTGCTTACCTTTGACAATTTGCTTTGCACACGCACTGTAAACCTGTTCTTGGGTCGTGCTGGGAGGCAAGACTCGGTCGAAGACATATGGCTTCCCTTGCTAAAGACAAAAGAAAAAAGGGGAGGGAGGGGAGAAAACACGTTAAAAGTTTAGGAATAAAAGCGCTAATATTAGTATAGACAACAGACACTAAATCCCTGGCCCTAATCTTTAAGGCAGTTCTTTCCCAAGACTAGGAAATATGTGTCCAGTGTTGGGGATCGGAGAGGAGAAAAGGTTTCTTTTTTACTTAATATACTTTTTCTGACGAAAAGAAGGTTGACGCGTCATTCATTCATTTGAACTAATGCTGGTTTATTGAGACCTTACGCTGAACCGGGCGCTAGGCTTGATCTGCCCGGAAAACAGTCCTGCCCATGTGAAGCCCTATCAGGTGTGGCAGACAACTAATACGCAAGCAAGCAAGCACAGGGGAAATGCAAAATGCCTAAGTGTGGGGCAAAAGGGAGGACAGAGAGGGCCCGAAGGCCTCACTGAGGAAGTGCCTGTGAAGTGGACCTTTAATGGATCAGAAAGACTGCGGCAAGTGAAGGGCGATGGAAGAACATTCCAGACAGAGGGCGGAGCAAGCAGGCGGGGCGCGGTGTGCGGTGTGCGCAGGAGGGTGGCAGGTCCAGGAAAACGGGAGGCAGTGCCTGCAGGGCACTGCCAGCCTACTGTGATGGGCTGATGGGCATGGATTTGACCCAATGGGAAGAAGACAGACCAGATCTAAGAAGCGGCTCTTCTTAGCAAGACATCACCGCTTCATGTCCCAAAGAACCCGAATGTTTTCTTCACACGCCTAAGTGGTGCCTTCACTGGGTCAGGCTCCAGAGACAAAGGAAGCCATCCTTACAGCTGACCAAGTGATTGATTTCCCAGGTGTGGGGTCTTGGGATTTGGTTTGATGCTGGGCTGTGTGCGATTCCAGGAGGTAACTGTGAGGGGAAGCGGACAAGCACTGCCTAGCACTGTATGAGCCCTGCCACCCGATCACTGGGCGTCCACCATGAGTTCTTGGCATTTACATGCCGGTCACCGTGCTGGGCTCTAGGGCAGGAGGTGGGTAAGACAGACACAGTCTCTTCCTTTTCTGTGCCAATGCTGCCCAAGCCTGACCCACAGGCGGCCCTTCAACTTCACTTTCCCCACGTGGCAGAGGGAAGGGCAGAAAAGGAGGTAAGATGAGCATCCAGAGCCACCCTCCCCCCTCCACCCACCCCTGCCCCGTGCTCCTACACATGCTCTGGACACTAGGAGCCACCCAAGGACAAGTCTGACACCTCACAAAGATAACTCCTCCTGAGGGACCCAGGGACGAGGCTTGTTACATCCTATATCCTTCACGCAAAGCTAAGCACATAGCTGTCAGACTGGCTTAGCATTTTACTTATGACAAGGGCAGATAAGGTCCCAGGCTTTAGGTGTTATGCTTTAGCTATAGTCTTAGAAAATAGGATTGAGCCAACCAGGTAAGTAAGCTACTTTCAGTTTGAAGTAACTTATTTCAAATTGGAGGGGGGAAAAATGAAGAATTTCGCCCTAGCTGGTTTTGCTCAGTGGATAGAGCATCAGCAGACTGAAGGGTCCCAAGTTCGATTCCAATCAATGGCACATGCCTGGGTTGTGGGCAGCCAATCAATGGTTTTCTCTGATCATTGATGTTTCTATGTCTCTTTCCCTCAACCTTCCTCTCTGAAATAAATCAAGAAATATATATATATATATATATATATATATATATATAATTTTTTTTTAAATGAAAAATTTCAAGGTGCCATCAAATAACTCCTGCCGTTTTTATACAAAGCAGAAATTATTATGTGAAACCCTCTTGCAATCTGGGACCCCTTGGGAGATGCCGGACTGCTGGTTTCAGCCCAAACCCTGCAGGCCAGGGTGAGGGACCCCACCGGTGCATGAATCCATACACCAGGCCCCTAGTCTTTATATATATATATATATATATATATATATATATATATGCCTAAGTGACCATTACAACCAAACGATCAGTTCACCAGTCACTATGAAATGCACTGACCACCAGGGGGCAGATGGTCAATGCAAGAGCAGCCCCCTGGTGGTCAGTGCACTGCCAGAGCCAACCTCCCATGGCTCCTTACCCTAGCCAGCCGGCCCCATCAGCCATCACTGCTAAACCATTCATAGAGACCTGCTTCTGGGTTGGGGTTTCGTACATAGCAGAGCAGCTCCCTCGCTGCAAACTACTGAAAGTCAGTCCTTGACACAAGGATTTGTCTCATTCCCACCTTCTCCCTTCCCTGGGGGCTACCTACTCACCAAGGTGGTGGCAGCAACATGGGAAGGGGCGGGGGGAGTAGAGGGGGAACCACATGGTGGCGGGGCACCAACAGCAGCATCCAGCATATCCAGCATTCATTCCTTCCACACCCAGCCCGGTAACTATCGCCTCCTCTCTCGACCCCACTGGGACCTTCAGGCCCAGGCTGGGATAGGGAACCAGGGGTGGGTGGTGGCAGATGTGGCCCCTTTCCCAGGGGGCTGAGGGCCAACTTCATCCTTGGGGGCCAGTGGCCAACTTCCCATGGCCTCTCCCCCAACCCCGTCAGCCAACCTCCTGTGCACCCACTCTCATGCACGAATTCCTGCACCAGGCCTCTAGTATTCATATAAAATCTTTGGTTAATCTCTTCCTCCTCCCCCCTTCCCTCTGAGATTCATCAGTTTGTCCCATGTTTCCATGTCTGTGCATTAAGCATCTGCCCCCTGATGGTCAGTGTGCATCATAGCTACCGGTCAAAAGGATGCTTAGGTTTATATATATATAGATTATGAAAAGGGATCATTTTTTGATATTTTGTTCCCAGCAAGTTGCATTCATTACTACTTAGTTGAATAAGCAAGAGACTATTCCTCATCACAATCTATTACCAACTATCTACCCACTACATTCTTATTAGTTTTATCTATTTGTATCATTTAACTAAATGTCAGTGGGGTAGAAGGTGAGAATAAAACACTCACAGAGTTTGCCTAAGTATTTGTCATCCATAAAACCTTCTGGAAAGGAAATGCAGCTTTGCTTAGTTTAAAACAAATCCACTATGTCTCCAAACCTGATTAGAATCAGCAAATAAACCATCTTGTTTACAGCATGACTCTGCTCTGGGTTTTAGAGAAAACACACAGAATACAGCAGGGGGGGAGAAATGACTTATACATTACAGTATATAGAACAAAAAGATGGGACTCCCCAATATTGTCCTTTGACTTAAAAGGTGTATTAGTGTGTATTATAGTTTCACTATAAGAGAGGTGGAAGTGAAATTTAACTCACTTAAATGTCATTTACCAAGTGAAAAATAGACAGTACGACAATCTCCCATGAATTGAAATTAACTCCTAACAAAAGCTGACGTCAAGAAAAGATAAAATTTAGAAAAAATAGTTTGTTATAAGACTTATCTTTCCAGGATTAACACATGAAGATCCGTAGTTAGAAATATAAGAATGTTTATTTGTCCTTCCATGTGTGCACTAAGTTGGTAACATGTTTTTATTTTAGATGAGTCTTAAAATCTTGGGATTAAAATTTAGTGAATGATTATTTTCAAAGGACTGATTTGTGGTATAGCCAACTGTATAGAGAGCTGCATTAAACAGCAGCAAAAATTTGATCACTCTTTGGTAATGGTCTAAAAGTCTCAGAGATCCTGCTGAAACCGGTTTGGCTCAGTGGATGGAGCGTCTGTCTGTGGACTGAAGGGTCCCGGATTTGATTTCGGTCAGGGGCCATGTACATTGGTTATGGGCACGTCCCCGGCAGGGGGTGTGCAGGAGACAGCTGGTCGATGTTTCTCCCTCATGGACGTTTCTAGCTCTCTGTCCCTCTTCCTTCCTCTCTGTGGAAAATCAATAAAAATATATTTAAAAAAAAAAAAAAAAAAAAAAGTCTCAGAGATCCTGACAGACAGAACTTATATCTGACTCCACTATAGCTGAGGGTTTCTGTGGGCAGGCCATTGCCAATGGGCTTGCTAGCTCTGGGTGTCACTAAGTTTATAGCTACGAAATAATCTTTGGAAGGACATCTGCATACAAATGCTGGTGCTAACACTTGACACTGATGAGGAGGGAACACTCCATCCCAGCTGCCTATTCAGGATGGGCTCTCTCCGCCCTCTCTAGCTGCTCTCTCTCTCAGAGTCCTTTGCTGGTATCTCCTTCCAAGTTCTAGCTAATGGTGTGTCCTACACGCAGCCTCCTGTCTACATTGTTGACATTCACATAACTTGAATGAACATTTCAGCCTTCATATCCATCTAAGCTCCAGATTCATGCACTCAATCGCCTGGTGGACATATTTCACTTAGATGTCCATTAGCCATATCAAACTTAAAATGAACCAGCAAGCCTCCACATCTGAGTAAGAACTGTACCACCAATCACCCAGTTACTCAGACTAAAATCATTCAGTATGCTTCACAGGTCCCACATCTACAATATATCCCAAATTCTATCACATCTCACTATCTATACCATACACCCTTAGTCCAAGCCACCATTGTTTCTCCTCTGGACAATAGCTACAGCCTCCTCACTGGTCTTCCTGCCTCCACCCTTGCTCCTGACGATCCAATTTCCACTGAGTTGTCAGAAGGACCTCGCTAAACCTGTAAGTCAGATGCCAGTATCCCCTCCCGTAAAAACCTCAGGCGGCTCCTGTTATACTAACTAGCCCCTCTTGACCCTCAGCTCCTACATGCTCCTCCATCTCATTGATCTTCCTCCGTACCTTGCATAGTCCTCGGTTCAGAAACCTTGCTCTTAACTCTCCTTCCCTGCAGCATTCTCGCACTGCAGATCTTCTCTTGGCTGTTCTCTAACACCCTTCAGATCTCAACTCCAGTTTCTCTTCCTTTTCGGCTTCCATGATTCTAACCAAAGCAGCCCACCCACCTTGCCATCACTCTCTATCACATTCCCCTATTCAGTTTGCTCCAACTAGTATGTGACCTATTCCCAACCAAACAAATGAACTGCTATAATGAAAGCGTTTAACCAGCTAAGAC